AATAATGCAAAAAGTTGAAATTTAAAGAATGTATTACTACAATTTCTGAAATGATTTTTCTAGATTTGTGGCATATTTTCGTTACACATCCGTTCTTGTGCCAAAAACTCAGCTAATGGAGACTTCAAGATTTAATCTTATAAAATTGTCAACACATAATATGACGTGAAAAGCTTTTAGCATGGGTCAAAAAGTGCCGCATAGAGAATTATGGGTAGCTCAAAAAATGCGAAAAATTGTGATTTTCCACTTTTAAGCCACAAATTAATCATCTTGTGTAAAAATATGGGGCTAAAAATATACCTCAAAAATTTAAAATTCAATGTGATGATGTTTTCGGTGGATTAAATTGCACAATTATGTGTCGAAATTTTAATGGTACATGTGAGAATGCACTCGATGAGGACTTATCCGTGGAACTTATCGTAGATAATCCTGATGATTTATGAAATATACTCCTGAATCGTTCACAGAAAGAACAGAGGACGACCGAAGAGATGAAAGAAGTTCGGAGACGTTTGCAGGTATTAACCCGTTGTTGCATGAGCTAATCGTTGATTTTGGTGAGAAAATCTACATTGTAGAGTATTTTTTCGACAATACAGTAAGTTGAAATCGATTTTTGTAGTAATTTTTTAAGTTAAGTTTAAGAGATCAGACTTATAATGCTCCCCAAAATTCATTTCTTGCTTTGATTCAATTTAATACTCCAGCATAGAAATAAAGCTGAAAACCATTTGTTGCTTTCATGCAACGCTATGCAATAAAGGATTAACTTTACTCAATTTTTTTTTATTTTTATTTGAATTGATAGAAATGGCCAGTGATGCTTAAAAAAATGTATTCATTGACTTCATATACCGCAGAAATTCAAATCACGGTTTCTTCCACTTCGGTTTTATCAGTGATGTAAATGAAGCGACTCTAGGTAATTGAGAAAACGAGAATGAGAGTAATCACGGCACACACCCGTGAACTATTCATAATTTTGGGAGGCTTGTACGATAGATGTAGAATTTTAGCCTTACAGCAGATCACATTAATATCCTTGATTTCAGCATGACATTAATCTATTAATTGCACAAGTGTCACATTATTTCCAAATAATTGTAGCGTCATTATGAACCAACAATCAATGGATAAATACTCATTGACAACAAAAATAAGATCCTGAAATGCCAAGGAAGCGAAAAATCGCGATTTTATCTGCGAACCGTATCAATGCAGGTTGCTTTTACCTATCATTGTTCTCCTCTCAGATTAATACCAAAAGATTTTCCTAGGCATACGTTTCTCTTATTCTAGTTAACGATGTTGCAAAAGCGCAAACGAGCAATTCAAATTCAGATAAATCTATACCAGAAGTTCCTGTTCTCCGATTTAGACGATGTCATGCTGAAGTCGTAAAATACTGCAAAGACGGCAATGATGACAACGCAGGTGAGAATTTTCCCATTAATTTTACAATAGATTTTCCATGAGTTGATTAAGCAGAGAAAATTTAGATTATAGTAGGCACAAATTAACATTCTCAAATAGCAGAAAAAAAAGAAAAAAACACCGATAACACCTATAACAATTCAACAATTACGTTCCTCTTGCCATTTTAAACCATGACCCAATTTTATAACTTAGTGGCTCTTTCACCGATAGAAAATATGTTAGGTTATGCCATTATACCCGTGCTTTTCATTATGATTTCAGATCCTCAGGACATTCAGTCAGCACAGTGCCTGACCATGCATCTGAATTTTACTTCTTGACATTGAACATATTTACTATCATAGTTCTTATCTAATTGTTACGATACTATTATAGTTGTTTTCGCATAATGGAAAAATTGCATCAATACATTCTTTAAATTTCAAACTTTTCAACTTTTTGCATTAGTTACGCTTTCGACAAATCCATATCCGTTGTTTCTTCAGATATACAAGGAAATTTCAACGTCATTTAAGTATGTTGAAAATTGCACTATTTTATTACGTCGTTCGTTGTCTACTAACCTTTACGTAGATAAGCACACCTGACGTTTGGATGTCGCAGAGCACGAGGGCGCGCCATGGGAGCAAATTCTACGTATGTATGTTGACAATTTTATAAGATTGAATTTTGAAGTCACTTTAAATGAGTTTTTTATACAGGAACGGATTTGTTACGAAAATATGCCGGAAAATCGCGATTTTCGAGCTTTTCACGGCTAAAAAACCGCTCCCAATGGACCCAAAAAGAAGAAAATTGGCATCATTTTTGTCTTAAAAGTAAGCAGCATCAATTTTTAAGGTAAGACTATCCTGAAATTTTGCGAAAGAACAAATTTATTGCACACAAATGGCGAAAAACCGTGGAAAATCGCGATTTTACGAGTTTTTTAGAGCTTTCCACGGCTCCAGCACTCTCCCTAATGGACGTATGAAAAAAACGTTCGGATCATTTTTATAGGAAATTTTATCAGCTCTATTTCTGGAAATAACTATTTTCTCGATATATCGCACTGGAAAAGAGATATCTCGGGAAAACCGCGGAAAAACGTGATTTTTCGCGGTTTTTCCGATTTTCCGGAGTTAGCACAAGGAAAATTTGTTGGGAAACCAAAAATTCGGATTCAGCGTAAAAAATTACATAGGAATCAATCATAACCTGATTTCACCTAAATTTTGCAAGGTAAACCCCTATTCTATCCTCTATTGCCTGGGCTAGTAAGGATGAAGTCACCACTCATCATCGTGAGAATGAGTGGAGAAGTGGGAATCAAAAGAAATTATATAGGGCATGGTTCGATCGGTCAGCAATCGGTGGTTTCCTGATTTCCTCTATTTCATCTTGAATTTTATTATCAACCTGAAGAAAAATGGATTTTTGCATTTTCTTGAAATATAGGCTAAAAAGTTGACGTAAGGCTCAGCCGAGGCCTCCCCTCTCGTAAGGCACCGAAAGGCTGTTATAGACCCCCCCCCCTCCCCATAAGAGCCTTACGTAATTTATGGACGGCCCCTTATTTGTATTTTTTGTATTCCTTATGGTCTTTATTACTTACAATTCCTAATCATATAGATAATAGAATAGAAATCATGCAGATTTTCCCTTTAAAAAAGGGCGTTTAAGTTGGTTTGAGTTTAAAAGATTCCTGCTTGGCCCGAAAGGCGAGGGTTGACAAAAATCCTGCGACCCGAAAGGCGAGGGTTGACAAAAATCCTGCGGCGCGTGGGGAGTGCAGTGAGTCTGCAGAAAGGAACATCGATGCTCCCGATTGCGCACCAGACAGTTGGCGATGGAAATTCGGCAGGATTTTTGTCAACCCTACATTCCGAGCTCAAGGAAGGAATCTCTGCTGAACAGTCGACTCGTTAATAGAAAACCGGTCCTTCGCAAATTTTTTTTGCGCCCATGAAAACTTATGGGGCCACCAACAAAATGGAATGGGCGGGTTAAGTAGGATATAATCAATTGAAAAATCTTATTTGTCCTTTGGTGCTTGAAGTCGAAACTAAAGAGGGAAAACTAGAACTGAACTAGAAACTGTTTTTAAGCAAAAATAACAACAAAAGCAATAATAAATTACGAAAGTAACTAGCCGACCCTCGCCAGATTTGTTTCATGCTCATGAGAGCTTGTTCGTTTGTAGAAGTGACAAATAAATAAATAAATCCATGCATCCTACTTAATCAGTAATTGCTCTAGTTTCAATTTCAAAAATCGAAATTTAACTGAATACCTCCCCTTCTAATTGTTGGTATAATTTCAAGGAGTGGAATTTTGTCTCTTTTTTTGGAACTAATTTTCTTGGCGCTTTTAGAAATTTTATTCGGCTTCTATCACCTTCTTTCGATAAAAAAGCGATGAAACTTCAATGATAAATAAATATAATGTTGTAGATAGTTAGAACAAATTTTCTGTATCGCATTGAAAAAAAGTGTTCCACTTTGCCAGGCTCTCCCCCCTAATGTAAGAAAATTGTAAATGCATCAGACATGTTGAGAAAATCACAAGTAGAAAAGGGAGTGCTAGCAGCGGATGCTCTAATAGTTATCCAGGATGATGATACCGAATGTAACTTCATATGAGTCATATTTTGTTTGACGAAACAACTCGGATCGTCTCGTAACAACCATTTGGTTCTGATGTTTTTGATGTTAAGGGGCGTGGCCTATTCTTAGTAGATTATTTATTTTGCACAATTTGGCAACGTTTATGGAACATTGTTTGGAAACAATCGGAACGTCCTCGGAGCTTGTTACAACTGTTGTGAACATTTGATAACAAGATTACTAATCTCACTTCTAGCTGCTTTGCTCTCATTGCTTGTGAAAAAGTGACGCAAATAACACAAAATCGGTAACAGGAAACAATTAATGCGTCGAACAAAATAGGACTACACTTGAAAGGTTTTTGATGCTGTTGGACCATAAGAATACCGCCTTGATACGCTTTGTTAAAGTGTCGGTACTTCTAAGACCATTGGACCTCGCTCTTCGGCGAGGAGTGGTTAAGGTGATTCGATTGACACCATATTTTGTGTCAGAACGGCATGCGATATATCGCATCAATTGGCTCCATTTTTTCAGCTACTCGTCATTTTTCTCCAATTTTGAGATCGCAATTCTGTTGTCAGGAGACTAAAGCACTCACTTACCAATTTTAACAAAGAAATTCAACGTAATAAAGGCGTGGTTTTTTTTAGAGAGAAAATATCGCATTCGAGTGCAGTTTCGATATCAGTATCGAATGCGATGTTTTCTCTCTAAAAAAACCACGCCTTTATCACGTTGAATTTCTTCGTTAAAATCGGTAAGTGAGTGCTTTCGTCTCCTGACAACAGAATTGCGATCTCAAAATTGGAGAAAAATGACGAGTAGCTGAAAAAATGGAGCCAATTGATGCGCTATATCGCATGCCATTCTGACACAAAATATGGCGTCCATCGAATCACCTTAAACTATTAAATGATGTTAAGAAGCAACTGGGAAGAGTCCTCGCTGAGATGAGAGATCCCAATGATTGTGAAAACATGATAAACAGTGTAATACTTCAAAATCAAAAACATGATATAAAGTGTATTCATGCAAATTAAGAAGCACATTGCACCCCACTGCGCCTATCCCAGGTATAATCGAATCAATGAAGGTAAAGGATTACAGCATTAAAGGTGGCGTTAAGTAACATTTTAAAAAAAGAGAGGCAATAAAATTAAGTTGTTACAGCGCAAGGCGAAGGGAACTTCACAAAAATAGCTCGATAAAAAAAATCCAATCGGACAGCAGACTTGTCTCAAATCCTGATTTTACGACCGATTTTCCCTTGAATCTTGATGAAATCATGATTAATTCCTGCTAGACCTCAAATCCTGATGCTACACGCCCAGTAATAAGTTTACACATATTGATTCAAATACCACAACTGATAGAACTGCAAATGGAATTACCTAGGTCCTGGAAGTAGCAGGGGCCGAGGCTATGGGCCAGGCGACAGGAAGCAGTGAGAAATGAAAGAATGGTGTTTTGTGTCTCAGTTGATGCTAATCAATACCATCTCCCAATACCTGGCCATGGGTTTGAGGTTAAATGTTCGTAACTCCCGAAAACACACGGGATCGTATAGCGGAGGACTTAAAAAGTTGATTTTTTTTACATGAGAAAGTGAATTTATTCCAGGCGTGGAATTTTCAGTTGAATATTTTGGCAAGTTTTATCGAAAGAAACAAATTTGTTCGGCAGAATCACATTTTAAATTATGGAAAAAAGTATTAAATGTATGTCACTGTACTAAATGTATGGGAGATAACCGGGAAACGTATGCAACCCGCCAAACGTAGCCCGGCGGCTTCCCTTTGTTCTTGGGAGATATTACTCACACACTCTCACACGTATTCTCCAATGGCCAGGAATTCTAAGTAGGAATTGTGCTAATCCACCGAAGTTGATAGTTATAATTAAGTACACGGCAGAAAATACGGATATTCTCTTCCCAGGTCACACAAAGATTGACCACTCCCTAGTTACACAACCTTGAACGATGATTCAGGGGGCATTTGGGAAGATAGGCTTACATAAGGTGAACTAGTATAAATCACAGAATCACGGCTACTTCCAGCTGTGAATATGGGAACGGAGGAAAATGATGACTTTTCAGACTCAATTGAGTTACAAATGCTAAGAAATCGCTTGTAATTTAGACTGAGACTTCGGCGTAACGGTGATCGCGAAAACAGATGCGCAAAAGAAGGCAGCCATTCAGCACATGCATGAAAACCAAAACTCAGGGAGATGCACAAACCCACGAGATAAAGGGATTAAGAGGTAATGTAAAGGCGGTTGCAATAGGAAGTGGAGTGGAAAATTGCTTACCATTCTTGAAAAATTCGGAGGTTTCACTCAGGCCACGAGACGATGATCACACAGGGTGGTGGCTGGCGAAGAGAAACCAACTCTGGAGAGAAAAAAAGCTACCACACTCGTAGACTGTAGTTTGCGGTAGCATTATTACCTCGTCTAGTCACAAATTACACGATAGGCGCAAAAAAATGCGCAAAAGAATCACTTCCGAACTAAATATCAGAACTTTCAAGCTTCTCCAGGGACTGAGCGACTGAACACGGGCAAAGGTCTCGCAGAGAAAATGGCGGCAGCGGCCTTAACAAGATTCAACAAGTCGGCGTGCCACGTCGACAGCATCGCAGGACTTTCGAGATCATCACTGCAGCAGCAGGGTGTCAAGACCGCCATCTTACTGACGTAGATGGTGTTAAGCCAGCCTCTTTCTTATGGATAAATTAATGGGATCACCGTGTTTCGTCAACCAGACCATGTTTCTGCTCCTCCTTTGTTCAATTCCTTCAATATCAACCAATCAGAGCATTCGTTACAAACTAACATCACTCACACACTCTCATTTTCAACAAGTTGCTGAGTCAGACTTGTCCTCAACGTTGCCAAATTTGTAGGGATAATAAAAGCAGATATTTAATAATACTGCCTTGCCCTTACTGGCAATGAAGGAATCCCAAACATGACCGGCAAGCGCCTGGCTGGCGCCTCAGGAGACCCTGGCGCCATCCGGCGAGGAGAAGAAGGGTAGTGCGGGGAAGCGGCTGCTAAGAACTCAGAAAACTCGAAGTTCGTGTGTTATGTGTGTTTTTGACCGTTTACAGTGTTTACTTCTTCATGAAGTATCAATTTACACTGAAAATTTTAGCTCGCCCATATTTTGTAAATGTTGAGTTTCACAATATTAAGCCTAGTTCGTATTAATTTGGAATTATTATTCTCGGCTCGACGATTTATTTTTGTTTTGAGTTTAAAACTCACTTAACCTTACTCTCACTCCTGCTGTTCGAACTTATGATCTGAAGTCCAGTAGGTATGGTTTTCTCTGTGTAATTATAACAATCCGTGAGGATCCTCAATAATTTCGTTGTTAAGTCCTGATGTTTATCTCCTTTAATGCTGTAGATTTTCCATGCGTATCATGTAGAGTTGTGACGATCGATTCTGTAGAAAATTATCGAAACACCTGCACCTAACGTCGTGGGTCAGTTACTGTGAGCAGTTTTCTCTCATTGTCAAATCCCAGCCAGTCCATAGAGAAAAAAAAGGAGGTGTTTGCATCTTGAGGTTTGTTTACCCTGTGACGTAGATCGGTACAACCTGGCCAGCGAAATCCGGAATTCGAAGTATGAAAAACGAACCATAATGTCCCATTTTTTTGCTTAAATCAACTCATGATATAATTTCAAGCACTTTTTATGGAATGAATTTTTTCCATAAATTACACCATTTCCGAGATAATTGATGATAAAAGTTGCTGTACCGACCTACGTCATCAAAAAAATCCAAGGTGCCCAAAATGCAAACACCTCCTTTTTTTTCTCTATGAAGCCAGTCGAGTGTCGAAAAACAGAAATTCGATAGTGATTAATGGCACTTGAGTTGGCTACAGCCATTGAAAGTTCCCAAATTGGGTGATGGAAATATATCAGAAATAGTTGTCTTAAATGGCAAGCAATTCCAATTAAATAGCTATTTTGTGTTGAAAAATCGACCGTGACTATCTATAGTGAGTTTGTACGTTACATGAGGGGCTTGAGAGACAAGGCGCCGAAGTGCAGTTTTTGATATTTCATGAAATACAGGTTAAAAGTTTCAAAATTACATGGAGCTTTATGGCCGAGAGGAAATTTAAACTCATTTTTTGATGCTCCAAGTTTGGAATTTAGTTGTGAATTTTTTTCATGATATACTTTCAAACTAATTTTACTTAGAGTGGATGAATATCTCATTTTTTCAAAAACGGCATGTACGCGCTTTTTGTGAAAAGCCCCTCACATGTAGATTAAAATTGCTGTTAAGTAGAAGTTTCATAGCAGTAAATTGACTCTAAATAGCTTATTTATCACTATCAATCTTGAAATTCTGCTGTATGGGATAGTCTGGAATCATTAGTTTAACTGGTGAAGATTTTCCGTAGTGCCACATTGGTCTTGAAGATGTTCTTACTTTTGAGGCAGGTCAGAATTTTCCTCAGTTTAGCAAGCTTCTGATGAAAGGTCTAGGATGTTTCACTTTATTTTTCAGGAGTTTGATCAAGTATTGAATCCAATCTGATGACATGTTCATAAAAATGTTCAACTTTTTCAGACATTCAAGGCTGTAATCTATTCTTTCTGATTTATTCTCAGGGTTGAAGAAGTTCCCTGTCGACAATGATTCTGAAATTTGGTGGCTTTCTCCTCTTGCTTTTGTTCACGGGTTCGTATTAATAATTTTGTTTTCTTTCACAGAATCCGTTTCCCCGAAGAATAAGAAGATCCATCTCTCGAAAGATCCTGATTTGCACTTGATTCAGAAATCTTCCATTTATAGCAAGTTCATATTTCTCTCGTAGATTCATATTTATTTTGAACTGGGGAAAGAGAAAAACAGACAAATGTCACATCAAAAAATTGCACCATTCAACAGATATTTACGTATATACATACTAACCAATGGCCCAACTGATAATTGATGCATTCAGACTGACTGATGAGACTTTTGTCTATTCTTGTCTCTCCCCAGTTCTAGTAGAATTGTTATCTCCTCACTTAAATAGACAATAACTTGACTATAAACAGCTTATTTATCACTATCAATCTTAAAATTCTGCTACATGGGATGGCATCTCGCGCAATATGGCCAGGAGCAGAAAAGGAAGGAGAAGTTTGAACACAAGCAGTGCTCGAAACTCACAGCGCCAAATGCGCCTAAAAAATCGGCCATGGCGCCCAAATAATGAAGGCTCTGCGCCAACGTGGCCCCTAAAAAGTGCCCCCTAAAAATCTGAATTTTCATAGGAAGTCACATGAAGAAAGAAAAACAAATCTACTCTTTTGAATTTAAAAAACTCAGACTTTTCAGCACGCCAAGTGAAAGCTTTTTCTATTCTTCACGATTTCATTCTTAGTGCTGTTGTCTTCCCCACTTTACAGCTAATTACTAGTTCTGTTACAAAAACATCTTGCGTCTAACTTTTCACTAAATGCGCCGTAACACTTAGGCAAAATGTCAATTTGGCCCCTAAAAATCGGGCTTGATGCGTCGCATGGCTCCTAAAATTCAAAGGTGAGTTTCAAACACTGAACACAAGTGAACTGCAATGTCATGGATCCTAAAATTCTATAATCCCATCAAATATCGCCTATCTTTGTTCATAAGAGGAATTATAGTGAGGCTAATGGCACTAGACAAGGTCTTAATTAGAATATTTTCCCCTTGAAATCTGATGTAGTAAACAATCCACACAAGAGAAAGTTCGGAAATCAATCCCTGGACAAGGTATTATCAATCATTTTTAACACGCTTTAAAGGGAAGTGAGGTGAAGAAATGACTTCTCCTCTATTTCGCGTTTTAATCAATGTTAAATTGTAAAATTTCATAAATATTTTGTTTAGGAGTTCATTTCCAGTCTTCTCCTTAAATGATTGATTTTCCCTGTAAAATTATGAAGTGAAAATATGTTGCATAATGCTTCAATTCATACTTTTTTTAGAGGTTGTACATACTGGGTGAAGACTGTTGCCCTTGTTCCAAGTACGTATAGTCGAATTTCTAAACTTACCGCAAAGTTAGAACATTTTCAAGTAAATTAACCAGTTATTTCTCTTTTTTTTAACCAGAAATAGTTGCATCTGACGTTATTCTGTGTGAAACCTACACGAAATCAGAGTGCGAGGAGCCAAGCTACTCAGACTGTAATAAGACCCTGGAATGTGAGCCTGCCCCAAGAACATACTGTTTTGTAGCATGGACTAATGTTTCTGGTGTCATTGATATCTCACACAAGGTAAATGAACTTTCCCTCAATTTAAGATTGTAACTTGTGGCCCTGTTTCTAGAGTCGCTTCCCATTTCTTCAAGTAAGAATTTTTCACTTACTCCGGAAAAAAGCTCATCCTGCGCTTTTGATTTTGATTTTAACTTAATGGATGGTGGGAGGGAAGGTTTGACTTAGCTTTTTTATCCAGAATGGTTTACTTACAGCATCAATCAGTATTTGTTCTCACTCTAAGAGGCATCAAAATGGGGAGGGCATCTTCTCTGTCCTAGGAACCAACATATCATAGAATTTGAATGTATAATTACATCTGGAAGTAGCAAGTCAACCGGAGAGACTTCACATGAAAATATGTTTGATTTCTGTAGTATTTGAAATAAGTAATACTCACCAATAATTTGCCGAACATTTACTGATTTTATCAGCATCCAAGAGTACAAAGATATCTTACCCACAAGGGGAACTTCCCAAGCTGCCGCCTCCAATCGGGCTGAAAAAATTCATAGGAACTCTTTGGATGAATCCAGTAGGACCATGTTTTTTTTGTTTTTTCCCGATGAAGTGTTTGAATAAAGTTTGTTTTCTTTCAAAAAAGTCCAATTTTGAGCGCGGTAGACACCCAGTGTGCGCCAGGAGGGCTAGGCGAAACGAAGGAGCGTTGCTTCGCCTTGCCCAACCCTCCTGACGCACACCAGGTGCCTGGGGCGCACTGTCAATGCACGCTCAAAACTGGACTGTTCGGAATTTTTTGGGATGTCTCCAAGGTGAATTGGAAGAAACACAAAATCAAGGTCTTCGTAGATTCATCCAAAGAGTTCCTACGAATTTTTTCAGCCGGATCGGAGGCGGCATCTTGGGAAGCTTCCCTTGTCAGTGTCAGTCATTTCAAAGGTAGATACCAGAGGAAAACTGCATTGTATCGAGTCCCATTAGTTCCATTGTTATTCGCAATTTTTTGGGAATCTATATTTCTGGACAGTTGCAGGAAAAAACCTGCTAATTATTTGTAGACAAGGAATTGTTTTCAGAGAACTCCAGACATGCTAATTCTAATTAAAGTGAGGCTAGGTACCTTTTTGCGGTAAGGACTAAGACAAATAACTAAAAAAAATAGTGGCATTGTAGCAGACAATATTATAATTGATGACTCATGGTTTCGTTCTTCTTGCTTGAGTTGATTCTGAATGAAATTTCTTTTTGCCACATAATGTAAAACATTGTTTGATTTCTAAATCAGGCCATCGAAAAAATGGCTCTCCGTTTTATTGCATCTAAAGAGATTGCCTTCAGTTAATCTATCAGTCATCACACGCCCTCTATTGATTAATGTTTAGCCCAAAAACTTTCCTCTTTTATGCGGATGTCAGTCCTTTTATGAAAAATCCAAATTCTCACAATCATTTTTTGATCTTATATTCCGATTCGCGTTTTTGTCTCTATCTATTTTTCATCCTATAGTCATCAGTGTGTTTTTCACAACTCAGTCTACCAGCATAGGAATTATTCATAGCAATATATCAATCGATAATTCGCTCGTTGCACTACTCTCCTCTCAGACTTTATACTTTCTTTGTATCTTTTTGAATATTTTCAGTTTTAAGTAGGCCTCTTGCAGATGCAAACTTCATGTTAAAAATAAAATAATTGGAATCCAGTAAGTTTCTTGAGAAGGTTAATGGCGCAACACATTTTTTTTATTTTGGCTTCATTTCATGCTTGTCTCTTCTTTTAGGGTTGCTTTCATTATGACGAAGGTGGCGAGCACAAGTGTGTCAATCAAACAAAATGTGTGGACAAGAGCGAGGAAAAGAAGAAGCAAAAATTTTGCTGCTGCGAAGGTAGCCTGTGCAATAACCTATTCTCTTGGGAACTGGAGGTGCCCAAGCCCATCATGACAGGTGAATTTCTACCGTATTTTCAGGAGGAAAGTTCAGCTTGTGATAATGAAAATTTGAATGTCATCCAGGATTTAGGAACACACTACATCAAAGAATTTCAGGCTTTTCATCTGTTTTCATTTCTCAATAAAGGAATGGAGAATTTGCATACAAATTTTTTACTGCCTCATCCGAAAGTGCTTAAAGAGCTAATTCCACAGTATTTTTTATAATGTTTTTCTGATATGGGAAATAGTATAAAAATAGATTTAAAAGTGAGAAAATGCACCACCCATGGATGTCATCAGGCGGCATTTCCCATTTAAACACGCGTATTTTAGCAGATTAAATCATTTTGTCATATCTTCTCCAATAATTTTTCGATTCATGAACCAAAGGTATCCTCAAGTTCAGTTCAGTCAGTAGTTTCCACTTATACTTGAAATTCATCATATTTCAGACACCTGCAAATTCTCTAACAGTTCTTCTATATTTTTTCCAAAATTATTTCACTTGCAGTAATGGGTTGATTATGAATGATGGAAGGCATTTATACTGATCTATTTATGTCTCTGTTAATCTATTTTGTACAGGGTTTTGTCCCTCGTTTGTCCCACTTTCGTGGGGGTTCCACCATTCCTCCCTGTTCTCAAGTAGGTTCTCCCATTTCATGCATAGACGGGAAGTTTTTGCACCCCTTGGTAGAATCGAATTGAAGTTTATTTTTTTTGCTTCTGCATCTGGATGCACATTTCTCCTTTACTTATTGTACATTTTGGAAGATTGCTGCTAAGAAAAGTCAGGAAATATTTGTCACCTTGATCTGATTAATCTGTGACTGTCATTAGTCCACACCCTAATGATTCCGTATCATCCTCAAGCCCTAACATTTTACTGTGTTTGTTGACAGCTGTTACCCAAGGCCAGGGAGATAACTCGATCATTCTGTACACTTTAGTGCCAATATTTGTCCTTTGCGTCAGCTTGGGTCTTTTATACTTGGCTTTCCACAAGAAGAAACTCCCGTATTTCAGCCAAGTAAGAGGCTCTTTTTACTTCATTGGAATTTACCACAAGCCAAAGTTGTAAACCAAGCATTTCAGCATAGGCTTACTCGTCAAAATTTCATATAAAACAAATAATTATTGAATGGGCCACTTGACACTGTATGAATCAAATTACCGAACAGCATGTTTTGAAAATGCATTGAAAAAACGAATATTACATCAGGAAGTCTGGAAACGAAACTGTAATTGTTTACAATGGAGGGGCATGGAAGACAAGGGGTATAAGTGCAGTTTTTGCTATTTCGAGAAATACGTGTTTAAAGTTTCGAAATTGCATCGATCCTTATGGTGGAAAGAAAGTTCAAACTGACTTTTTAATGCTTAAAAATCAGAATTTGGGAGCGAATTTCTCACAGAATACGCATTAAGACTAATTTTCTTTTTAAAATCATTAGTATCTCAATTTTTTAAAAAACTGCACCAATGGGCCTTGTCGTCCAAGCCCTTCAATCGGACCATGTTTAGAAGAAAGGAACCAAGCCACATCAGCTATTACCAAATTTAACTGTACAATTCAATTTTCTACATGATTACATTTGTGCGGATACCCATGAAAATTTTAAGGTACATATTCGCTTCGCTTTATGCAGAAAATTCACTGTTGGCACGAAAATCTGCACAACCATTTTCATGTTAAAAAATAAATTGCCAATTAACATTTTGCAATAGCTGATGTGGCTTAGTTCTCTTCTGCTTAGTGCAGTCCAGTCAACATCGATTAATTGGAAAAAAATACGAATGACATCATTTCTATAATCTAACTTCAATTTGATGCGTGTTGAAAATATTCGTCAACACCTTGCTCAGGAGTTGATTTCTAAACCTCCTGTTGTGTGAATCTTTTTCTATGTAGATTTTGAAGAGAAAACATTTGACTTGTTCTCTGATTCAGACCTCATCTAGTAGCCCATTAAAAACATGAAAAAAGCACTTCTTTTTGTCTCTAACAAAGTCAAACTTACTGCTCACGAAAAGATAAGATTGAGTCCTCTTGAATCAAATCATGCACCAAAACTAAATATAGCGCCTCTTGTAATGGAATTATTCTCTCAACGAGGTAGAAAAATAATTTAATATGTACTTTTAAGAAAACTTGAGTTTTTCCCTCCTAAATTCCTCAAAATTTCTTGTCTTGTTTTCATTTTTACAACGTAACATTCCTTAAATTTTAACCATATGAAAACCCATGTAAGGAAATAAATGAAAATTCCTAATCCATCCCATTAAATTGTTCAGTAGCGCAAGTGAGTTCGCAAAATTGTATCTCTTTTTCAATGAAAAGTTTATGGAGATATGTACCAAGATCATCTCTTTTAGGGAGACGTAGGTAGTTCTATTAATTTTAAACTAAAATAATTTTTTTCCCCAGCTCCCAACGTTGGAACCTCAAGAACGACCACCATCGCCCAACTTGGGTTTTAGGCCCATCGAATTGATTGAGATGAAAGCAAGAGGCCGGTTTGGGTGTGTTTGGAAAGCTCAGTACAAGACTGATATTGTCGCTGTAAAAATTTTCTCTCCTCAGGTGCGTTCTCATTCAATTTCAAACGCTGAAACGATCATTCAATCATTCAATTGAAACAGGTTTCAAATCTTACAATTTTATAAAATTACCTTTTCAGTTATACTCTCTATTATAAACATGAGAAAAGTGTAGCCTCTATTAGTGGGGCTCTGAACCATAAAAGAAAAACTCTCTGAATGTTTGGAAGGTCTTTGTGTCTACAGTACCTATGTTGACCTGTTGTACCTGTTGTTGTTGTACCTATGTTGTATATGCCTTTCAAATTTTTTTGTGGAAAAATGAGGTTTTTCCAGAAAAATACTGAGATCTGGTAGTTACTTCAACGAAATGACGCTTGCTTTAAGTGTTTCAACCAAGTGTTACAGTGTATTTTTAATTTTTCATTTCTCATATCAATCTCAACGCTCTGTCATTTGCTTGTAGGATAAGCAACTATGGCAGACTGAACAAGAAATCTTTAAATTGAACCATATGGACCATGAGAACATACTCCACTACATAGGAGCGGAAAAACACGGGGATAATCTGCACGCTGAGTTCTGGCTCATCACAACATTCCACGAGCAGGGATCGTTGCACGATTTTCTCAAAGCGAACATTGTGACATGGCAGCAGCTATGCAGAATTGCTCATTCCATGTCGAGGTATTGTATTTTTTTCATGACTCATCTTCTAATTTTAATTAATTGATTTCAATGAATCAAATGTAGTTATGAAGGTCATCCGGAAAATAAGTTTAGTCACTCAATATCTCCCAATTTAAGGAAGATGAAGAAAATCTGTAAAAAGTTTTCAAAATCCACTTTTGGCAGCTTTCCTAATGCGCCATAGATTTTTTAATTTGATCCCATAGAACTTTAAAAAAGTAAAGTTTTTCTAAAAGAGTTTTGATGTGTGAACTGCGCTTTGTTTTTCGTTTTTTCATGGAGAAAAATAAGCAATTCCTCAAATGCAGGATGATTTACATTGAAGATGTCATGAAAGCTGCTTATTATTCCAAATCATCGACGGAATTTCTTCACGAATAGGCAGGATAATGTGAGGGATTATGAATGATTCAGTCAACATGCAAGACTTATTGCAGATAAGTTCGGTTATTTGTTGTTCTGATGCATCTGATATGAAAGTAAATATGGTCAATACTTCATTCTTTGTAGCTGGTAAGTGTGGTCTCGTATGGTTTTCATGAAATTCAACTGTTTTTAAGTCACTCACTTGCGATAAGCAATGAATGCAGCAGCTAATTTCCTGATGATGCTCTCTGAAATTTTGGTGGGGTCAGAGAAACCAACTTTTTCAGAGTTGTATTGAACCTAATTTTAAAATCTATAACATTGTAAAGCTGTAAGTACTTGCCTTTCAACGTTTAACACAGATTTTCTCCATTAATCTTAGTTAACTAGATATTGAGCAGGTAAAGTCACTTTCTGGACGACCCTTTTAAATTAAATACTGAGGTTGTTAGGCTACCAATTTTCAGAGACGGAAATGTTTCAGACAGAGATGATGACATTCATAGCCATCAGTGCTTACGTTCTGTGAGAGATATAATTTTCCTCCTAGGGGTTTTCCCTTCTTAACAAGTATTTCTTTCTTCTTTATAGAACCAATTATCATGCATCAATGTCAACACCTTTGTTTCTAATTTGAGTGGTGCTTTTAAACTACCCTTCCTCATTGCCACCAATTTTTCACCTTCAGTTCAAGGAGAAAGTTTTTAGTTAGCATTCAATGGTCAGTCTCAGTCTGCTCAAAGACATAGTTAAAACATTTTACCCACCTCTGTATCTAGTCCTTCAGCAGTTTATCAAATCTTTTGCATAACGAATAATTCTAATTTTTATTTGGCTTTTTTTTCCTATTTTGCAGAGGTCTCTCGCATCTACACGAGGAAATCCCTGCAAATAAGACAAGCGGGCACAAACCAAGTGTTGCTCATCGAGATTTCAAGAGCAGCAACGTTCTGCTAAAATCGGACCTGACAGCCTGCATAGCAGATTTCGATCTAGCTTTGATTTTTGAGCCAGGAAAATCTTGCGGCGATGTCCATGGCCAGGTAGTCCCCTCGTCATATCATTTAATCCACTCATTCATTCTGATTTTGTATGTTTCTACAATTGGAAACTGGAACCTTTCAAAGAAAAAATAAGTAATAATATTTAAGTTTTGTTTAAACTCCTAAAATCAAGTCAACTTATAATTTTTTAAAAAGTAAGGTGGATTACATTTAAATCAAGTCAGTGGGGTAACTGAATAAGTATGGTTATAAAAAAGAATTTAGAAGTAAATTGAAATAAAATTTTTCAATGAAATATGATATAAACTATGTACAAATCGCCTGTCATTCTTAAATAAATTAAGACAAGTCATAACAAAGTAAGATTACTGGAAAGTAATTTTAGATAAAGTTTGTTAACTTGAGTTTCAAATTGGTTTAATCGTCTAGGAACAGAGTGAACTTTCACCCTAAATGCAGGTACAGTTCAAGAGTGAAGAACATCTACAGATGAACTAGAGCATTTTTCATTATTTTTCGGTTTCCGAGGATGGCGCATTTTTTCTTTCTGTGAAAATTTAAAAAATTTAAAAAGTCATCTCTAGAATCCCAGTGCAGTCAGGAAGGAAACCTTCCATTTGCCTGCTCAAAAGTTGAATTTTTTTCAATACACTAATGATTTTCTCTGCCTCTGTCTTGGATCAGTGTATGTTTATCTCATGTCTGTTTGAATTTTATAATCAGCAACAATTTTCTTCTTTGTCATCAGGTTGGCACACGGAGGTATTGGGCACCTGAAGTCCTGGAAGGTGCAATCAATTTCTCACACGATGCTTTCCTTCGAATTGATGTGTATGCTATGGGCCTTGTTTTATGGGAACTTGTCTCCCGCTGTGTAATCCATCAGAAGGTACTTTTCCACTACCAACGATCCAAATTTGAAAATCAAAATGTTTTATTTTGTTAAATGTAGTTTTGTAGCTTCCTCTAGAAAATTTCGAGATTTTCTGAAGAAGTTTTGTTGTCAACAAAAGCAGGTATTTGAGGACAAGAAAAAGAGAGTGACCTGAAATTTTCGTTGATAACCAGTTTGTGAGAGAGAAATTCTGCAGCTGTCCTAGAAGCATTTGCTGCTAAAAAAAGTTCAAAATAATTGGTAAAGGAGGGGTTCTGATAAGAGCCATTTTTGGGTCCTCTGTGAATTTTCTCGATTCTACAATTTCTTAGATCTGAAGACCGATTTTGGCAAAAAATGCTAATTTGCAGTCGAATGCCAAAAGATCTGCATTTCTCGGCATAATCGGTCCGTAAGCCCATGTTTAGGCCAGGAGTATACCCGGAAAGAGATCCAAAATGACCAAATTCCATAAAATATAGACCTGCAATGAGCAAAAATTCGTAGAGTTCAGGGGATTCAGTTAGGATGGGCCAAAAGACCCCTCCTTTCACAGCAATTTTTCGCTTTACACACGAGTTTCCTATCTCATACATTTCAACAATTTTTTTTTACGTTTTTAAAGTCAGATGCCTTCAGTCAATGCTTCTGTGGATAGATACCCTCCAAGGTGTATCAGTACATTTGAAAAATCATCATTAATCGACCCTTCGTATTAAACTCACCGTTGCAAGTTGATGTTATGAGATTTCAAGTATATCCTAGAGTACCTGTATAGGGAGAGTAGCGACAGATCTGAAACTCCGAAAGTCCATCAGGCCTTCACCGATGCCTCCGCGAATAAAGTTAGGGCCCAAAAGGGCAGCCAACCTATGAATTTCGAATGTCCAGAGCGATTTACAAATACAATTGTTACGAACCGTCGTTTAGAAAGCATGTATTTGGTTTACTTTTTGCATAAATTTACTTATTTTTGCGAAAGAACGCTCATTTATGTACATTCTTAGCCATCTTGGTTAGAATTGAAATCTGTAGGCTGGCAGTGAAATTTTGTGTGTTAGAAGTTGCTCAGAAGGGTGGCTGCACTTTTGGGCCCTAAGCCCTCCATGAACCGATCTGTCGCTACTCTCCCTATACAGGTACTCTAGTATATCCCTTCTAAAAGATGATTTTTGATTTTTTCCAAGGAAACTGAATCTGAAAATGAAAATTCTCAGTCGTATCAATTGCCTTATGAAGCAGAGGTAGGATCGCACCCTTCATTGGAAGACATGCAAGAATGTGTTGTGTACAAGAAACAAAGACCGGCCATTCCAGAATCGTGGCGAGAACACAAGGTATGTGCAAAAGTCAATTTATGAAGATTATCAAGCAATAGAACAGAGGATTTGCAGGTGTCTTAAATTTTGTGAATTTCGTCTTTAAAATGATACTGCTGGGAAAACTGAGTACTAGGATATCCTTGGTTTCTAAATTGGACAATGGACCACTAGACAAGGTACGAATTTCAGCATTCTGATACATGTTTCTTAGCTAAAATTTCACGTAGAACACGATGCATACAACGAAAATTACCGAAACCAACTCCTTACGAAGATATTAATGATTCTTGATGCGTGAATTCAAACCACCCGCTCATGAAAACTCAATGCTCTACGTGATTCACATCGCGCGCTAAACGTTTATCATGACAGTCTCTGCGATGTAAAAATCTTCAACTTCAATCTTGACACTTTGGCTCAGCTATTGCAAATTACCAATAGTTTGAACAACACATGGTGGAAAATGAACATTGCTCGATTGAGAAGCTTGCTGAAACCGTTGTAGTCCGCGATTTGACTCACGTAGAGCTTTGAGTTTCTTGTGAGCGGTCAGTTCAAATGCCTCGTAATCAGTGCGAAATAAAAACGTTAATATCTTCGTTAGAAGTTGATTTCGATAATTTTCGTAGTGTGAATCGTGTTCTACGTGAAATTCTGGTTAAGAAACATGTATCAGATTGCTTAAATTTGTACCTTGTCTAGTGGTCCATTATTGGAGAAAATATGACAAAATAACCTAATCTGCTAAAATGCATGTGTTTAAATGGAAAATGCCGGCAGATGACATCAGAAGCACATTTTCTCACTTTTATATCTATTTTCCTCTAATTTTCCATGTCAGAAAAAAAACATGAAAAATGCTGCGAACTCATATCATTAGGCACTCTCAGATGAAGCAAAAAAGTCTTTGTGTGCTAATTCTCGATTCCGTGAATTTTTTCTTTTTTTCTTTACTTTTCTCATTTGTTTGGTTGATTTGTTCTCTAAGAACATAGGAGAGTCTCTCAGAAAATGTAAGTCCACCCGTTTTTCCCTCAAAAACCGTTGATGGTAAAAATCTCCAATTACACAACCCAGAAGCCTCTTTTTTCAACGTTTCTAGAAGTATATTATGTTTAGTTTTTCAATGATCCAGTCGCTCAGGAATCGCATTTTCTGCAGTAACTTTACTTACATCTTTCAGAAAATATACTGTAAAGTTTACCACAGACAAACCGCAACAATTTTTGATGTCATCCTTTTCCCCACTCTTGTGAATTGTTGTCTCCTCTCATGTGAAACTTTTTCACCCCTCACGCATCTATCAATCAAGTCCGTTCAGCAGCGCATTAGTCTGACAAACCTTATTTTACCAATGCCAGAGGTGCACCCTGTGGTCTATGAGGTTTAACATTATCCAACTCTAATAGCCCTGACCACACTAGAGAGCTGAGCTGCTAAATTGGACGCTTCAGTGGTGTTGAATAAAATGCCCTCCTCAAGGTCTGATCGATTTTCCGTCAATAGATTTTTAAAATGGTCTTCCAAATGACTGACTGTTTTCGGACATACAGGGTGATACCAAAGTCTAGCAACACCAGCACCAGGCATCGCTTTCGTAAGTGTTGAAAGAATTGAGATAGAGACTTAAAATTTTGTGAGGGCTCACAAGTCATAGAAAACAATTGTTAGTCAACTATTTTTGTTTCCTACTAACGTATCCGAAGTCAACACAGTTTGAGATCCCTCACAATTTCTAAGAGACCACCCTGATAAAAGGCAAGACACTGAGGAGTTTTATTCATATTGGTGGCATGGGACTTCTGGATCATACTGTATTTTGGCCAAATCCAATTGAAGGGCTTGGAAGACAAAGCGCTTAAGTGCAGTTTTTGAAAAAATTGAGGTATTGATGATTTCAAGTTACACTAGTCCTAATGCGTATTCTGTGTTAAAGCTCCCAAATTCCAATTTTTAAGCATCCAAAAAGTCAGTTGGAACTTTCAATCCGCCATAAAGATCCATGTAATTTTGTAACTTCAAACGTGTACTTCTCGACACAGTAAAAACTGCACTAATTTGCCGCGTCCTCCAAGCACCTAAATTGTAGCCAATAATATGTCTTCACTTTTTCTCAGTAAAACATTCTTCTTTTCACGATAGTTTTTATTTTTCAGGGAATGGCATTGCTCTGTGATACAATGGAAGAATGCTGGGACCATGATGCAGAAGCGCGGCTATCCGCACCATGTGTTATGGAAAGAATAGTGCAATATGCCCAGTTCTCTGGTGTAAACGATGAAATTTATTCGAAGCTTCTGTGAGAATCCCACCGTTAGAGCTGTCAAATGCTCTATTTCCCGCAAAGTATTCTCAATTTTTCAGTGTTCCTGACTTATTTTTATGAGTGTTGAAAGACTGTTACTATTAATCGTTGCAAAAACTTTAATGAAAAGAAGACTTCTCCATAGAATAAAGAGACTACGCCAACAGAAGCGAAAGCTCCGAAAGAACCAATGTTGACATTTTTCTTCCCGGGGTCGGTCAATCTTCGTACTTATTGAAACCTGATTGGAGGTTAACCTACAATTATAAAATTGGAAAGAAACATAAAATTTTAAGCAACCGTACAGTGCTTCTCTGGAATAACAGTGAACAAGTGTAAAAAAATCTATTTTAATTCCTAAAAACGTCTGTATCTGCTATCCTTCGACCTCTAGAATGCCGACACGGCGCTTACGTAAACAGCACTTATAGACTCAGTTTTGCTTCAATGACAAAAAAATGGCGGTTGTTTTCGCCTCTGTTGACGTAGTTTATTTATTCTATGACTTCTCTCAAGCTGTAACATACAACAGCTTCTGAATGTATGTGCCATCTTTTTTAAACCTTTTATGGTATTTTCAAATGCAGAATATTTTGCCATCGAGTCTATCACTGCATCTCCAACCGAAAATCCAGAGAAGAAAAATTTTGTTCTTAATCCTCTATAGTATGAATTAATTTTGGATCTTGGATTCTAGAAGACACAGATCTATTTTGCAGCTTTCCACAAAGTCCCAAATTTTTTTCTCAAAATTTCGAATTTTTGGTGATTTTTTTTAAAGTGAACAAAAACACGGACAATAATTTGCAAAATCACGCCTCAAAGGGAAGTTTGAATTTTTAAGAGACCAAAAAATGCATTTTTACCAATCGGTAATGCCAAGCCATTGAGGGTTAAGTTGAAATCAAACAGCTTAGTTCCAACCGTAAGATGCCAAGAATAAGAGCGAACTTCTCTCGCACATTTTAGAAGTTCAATTTTTTATTTCATTAGTAAAGTGTCCATTACCTTTCATTGAACAAATTTTTGAATTTTCATTTTTTTTTTTGATGCAATGTAATATTCGTTGCATCTGAGTATCTTGCAATTTCTCCAGTCTGAAAGGACAAAGCCAGATCCCCTCAGAGGTTCATCAATCTAAAATTTCAAGGAAGAGTGGGAGGAAGGATTAAGAACCCTGGAAAAGTCTGAAGATGAAGATTTTTTGACCCCATATTTTTTGGATTTTTGACTCTAGAATCCCTGGCAGACTTTGGCTACCCCGGAAATGTTGGGAAAGGGGCCTCTAGACAAGGTATGAGTTAAAGCAATTTGCAACTTGTATCCTCCTCAAAATTGTACGAGAAAAACTAATTACACAACAGGAAGTCTGGAAATCAAACCGTGAACAAGATTGTGTGTCCAAAATCATCATTGGTCAAATGAAAAAAATAGAAATGAGGCACTGGATGCGAAAAGGGCGCTTCTCGATTGCAGTGTTTCAGAATTTCTGTTCCTAATTAATCCCTTGGAGATGAATTTAACCCGTACCACTCATGTGTCGGATGTGGTCCGTCATTTTTATTTTCCCGTCCAGATGTGTTGGACCTGATCCGACAAACCTGTTCACCTCACGTAAGCTCATGTGTCGGATGTAGTTTGCCGCCTCTGTCTTGTGCAGCGATTTATCAGATGTTTGGAGAATTACGTCCCCAGCTGTCAGCAACTGCGTCATCGCGCTTTGTGCTAAATTGCGCCTAACCTCTCTTGTGTTTTCGGTGTTGTCGGCCCTCCAAACTGCCATCTTATATATGATCTGGGGCAAGGTAGATTTACACAGGTATGGACAGAACTTAACAACTGGCCTCTGATTGGCTCTCCAGCGGCCCCTTAACGTCAGCCATTTTGAATGTTTTGATTATTTTGATTTATTATGTTCGGTTTATCGTTTGTCAAAATTTTGTGGGATTTTTTGCACAATTTTGATAATGCGATATTAATTTTAACGTTTAAACGCACAAACGTTTGAATGTTAATTTGATTGTAATTTAATTAAAAAACGGGCCCCTTAACCTACGTCACGTAGTCATGTGGCACGTACTGAGGCTCATGGGAAATTTTCAACTTTTCCATACCTGTGTAAATCTACCTTGATCTGGGGGAGAGGTTAGGTGAATTTAATTGATGAGTGGTAAGGGTTAATGGGTGATTTTTCCAGAATTCTTTCCGTAGAAAATTGTAGTATCATTAGGAATACTCGGTAAAATTTTTAGTAAAATGGACGATTCACTTTCCTTACAATGACTGAAATATTAGAGGCGACTCTGAAACACTTCAACCGAGAAGTGCCCTTTTCGCATCCAGTGCTTCAAATGACGTCATAATTATAATCTAAGTTCCATTTGATCTTTGTTAAAAATACTTGTTAATATCTCGTTCAGGAGTTGACTCTCAAACTCCCTCTTGGCGAATCGTTTTCTTCGTAAGATTTTGAAGATGCAACATGTGACGTTCTCATCTAGCTTGGACCTTGTTCTGTCTCCCATTATGTGTACGTTTCGGATCATGATGTTCTCCTTTTATAAGTGCTATTTTGTAAAGGCTCATTAATTTAATTTGTAAGATAATGTGTACAGTAAATAGTTCATCAGGTAAAGAATTCAGTAAAACTTCTTCTGGTTCCTTTTATCAGTGTTGTAAGAGTTGACCGCAGTACTTTTGCTTACAGCGCGTACTTGGTATTAGAATTTCAAAATGGCAGGGGAACTCGGGAAAAGAGAAAGCATTGAGCATTTTTTCCTGGAGGCTAAAGTTTCAAAAAATTAAAAATTTGAAAAGAATAGCAGAGAGGTCTGTGGTCAGTTTTAAAACAGGAACTTCATTTTTTTTCTTTGATGTCTATTGGTTGATCACCAATGGGGAAAGCCAGGGAATTTTTGGTACGTCGGTAATCGTTAACCTGTAAAATTTCGAGAATTTCTACTCCTGAAGTGTTTTGAAAATGCACCCATTCAAGGATGTCCTGTGATAGCATTAATTTAATGTGACTGAAGTTGGCTTATGAAACTCTTGTTTCAGCTTCTCGTCTGCTATGTATATTTAACAGACTTTTCATTTTCATTTTGGTACCTATGTCATGCGTTATTTTCAGCTATAGAAAATTTTTTGATCTTTTAAATTCTTTTAGTGTGTATATTATGCCCTGTATTTATGCAGCAGAAACTGAGTTTCTCCCGTATTCCAAACTTTATAGTCCCTTAAAACATTTTTCAATGGCACACATTTTTTTACCTCAAGTCTGATGTAAAAATACGATTTTTCATGCTGTATCATCGTCTTTTGTCCTTCTTCTCTACAAAAGGGGAGAAGGATACCCCCTAGATCTGCCAGTGAAATGCTTGTATTTAAGAACAGGGAGGCAAACTTCAGATAACATTCTATGTAAATGCTACTCAAATCACTCGAAAATTGATCGATCATTCGAGCAGTGGCAATTCTTACAAGTTGAAAGCATTGTTTAAATGTGTTCCATTTAGATGCATGTTAATGGCTGGTGAGCCAGCCTATCTCACCCAGAATCGACGTATTCAATAGATCTTAAGGGAATACTAATTGTGACGCCAACTCGCTGGAAGCGATGCTCAGCATTCAAGTCTGTAGTGTAACTCCTACTTTCCTACTTCTAATGACACTCTTGCCGTTGGTAGATTTCAATGAGATGTCAAAGATGTTTTGACTTCGTCACTCTAATTATTTTGACTTTTCAAAAATGATAAACTTTGGACCATCTCAATGGGCCAAATCAATTTTCCTTGTATCTAAGAGTAATTATCTTGAACTTTAATAGCCAGTTTGTATGACCGTTTTACACCATCGTTATCGTTGCTCTTTTGATGTAAGGTCGTATCTCAATTTCCTTGTGAGCCCTTTTCTTTGTATAATTCTATGCTTTTTGGGGCTCAAGTGGAAACAGGGATACGCCTTCGTGTGAGAGGTGCAACGGTATGTGTACTAAGTATCATAAAAATTCTCCTTCTCAATGAAACAGTTTTTTATTGAATATCATTCTGAAACAAAAAACTATACATACTTTCGAGACTAATTTGAAACGGTGTTTTCCTATCTTATTTGTTTAAATATTTGGATTTTGCCTTCAAGTTTATTCAGTTCCCTCATCAAGACTCAACGAGAGAGTCATGTATTTATGTTCTCGCCACAAAGAGAAATGACAAACCTAAAAAAACCAGAAAAAAAAAATCGCTGTCTTTCACGAATGCTTCTAGAATTTGTTAAATAATTTTCTTTTCCGCATATTTTTTCGTGAAGAATAATATGATACTAATTTTTTGCGCTTCAAGCCAATCTTGGCCGAAGGACTTGCTTTTGAGGCCTTATTGCTTGTGTTTCTATGATACTTACATACTTTATTTTGTACTTTTTAGTTGTAAGAAAACTTTTTTTGTATTATTATTTTTTTAAGGTTTCCAAAAAGTATTAAAATTAAAAGTTGTCTATTGAAATTTCTCGCAGTTATTCTTGTTTACTTGAAATCTTGGTTAGGAAGCAGGTTTTATAATCCTTGAATTTGCAATGGGCCTGTTGCAAACTACTTTTAAAGCAGAATGAAGAGTTGTTTCCTACAGGTAATGCCTCAAAAATCACGATGAGCGCATCGGCAAAGTCTGAAATGCACTCATAAATTCACAATCTGCGTAAGAAATTTGCGGTATTTTGAGCTTCCCGCTTCAAAATCGATACTACTGCACAGGTGAACATTTTGTTAGAGGAGTCGCTCCATCGTCGGCAATATTCATCATGGGCGACGCTTGTGCAGTTCCTCGCGTAATTCGAGGAGAGTTCCAGGTCAATTAAGGCGGGCGCGGAAAATATGAACGTAAACACGCCAATTGTTATCTGGTTTAATCCTGTTCAGGTGTTAGCTCGTCCCATCACACGTGTTTTGGCGGACTGGCGTCGGCCATAATGAGTATTGCCGCCAATGGAACGACTCCTCTAACAAAATGTTCACCTGTACCGTAGTATCGTTTTCAAAGCGGGAAGCTCAAAAAACCGCAAATTTCTTACGCAGATTGTGAAGTTATGAGAGCATTTCAAACTTTGCCGATGCGCTCAACGTGATTTTTGAGGCATTATCGGTAAGAAACAACTCTTAGTTTTGCTCTAGCAAAAGTTTGCATCAGGCCCATTTGTCCAGTGGTCTATTAAAGCACGATTTACATTAATTAACATAGGAAAATTGAAAGTATGAACTGTTCTCATTTCGGAAAATGTCATCTTTAATTCTGGAAATTAAACCATTAACAATGAACAGGAAATAGTTATACAAAATCAATCTCATTCAGCATATACTTCTTAATTAAGTCCTTGTCTATTCCATCTTTTTCTGAGGTCTCTTTGGGCTTGGGTGAAGCTAGAGCAGTTAAAATTTTCTGAAATACAGAAAAAATAGAAATCATAAGGGGCGCACAATTTCAGTATATAGTATGAGTGTCGAGATGTGGAAAAAATAATGAAACAATAAAATAAGGAAAAGATAATAAACGAAAAGGTAAAGTCTCATTCCTAAAGTTAACATTAGTCGCTCAGCAATTCACAATTCTCTGAACTTACCTATTATCATTTCCTGGCTTGCTCTTGTAAAAATTAAAAAAGAAGAAAAAAAGCTTTGGTACAGCTCAGCTTTACAGGTGATGTCTTATAGACGCAGAGTGCAGTGAAAGGAAAATGATGGAGAGAGAATGGAGTAAGAGAGTTCACCATGTTGATTATGCGTTTAAAATGAGTTGGCATTATTCTCTCAGTTAAGAGCTGTTCGATGTCATGACTTAGAGCCAATTTCCATCACCAAAAAAAAAAAAAAAAAAAAAAAAAAAAAAAAAAAAACTCAACTCTATTTGAATTTATATCAAAGCAGTAACCCAATTGAAAACTTTGACACAGATAAGCGCTTTTTTAAGTAGACAATCTTTTGATGAGTATCAATTTAATATTCAAGAAAACAGTTCCCCTAAGCTAAAAATAAAATCATCAAAAATTTAACAATGCATAAGGCACAGGGGTGTAACGCAATGGTTGAAGAAATGAATACTCTTAATTAAGTATACAATTTCCTCTACAAAAATGAAGATTGCACTAGTAAGGAAAACAGGTTTTCAAAACCACTAAAAATGGTAACTACAGTCTTTGATTATTTGAATATTCTCTCAGTCTGCTACAAAAGTATTAATAAATGAACTATTTCATTCAGCAATAATTATTGTTGGTTAAATACATGCTAAGGCTTCGAACAGGGATAATCTCCTTTTTCTACTAAAACTTTGAGGTGGAACAGTGTGTATTACATTTCCAAAGAAATCTAACAGATTGATAACTCTAGGGTCATCCAAAAAATATTTTTACTATCTTGTACTTTCTCGGCTAAAGGAGATATATTGGTTAAAAGTTAGGAGTCATGCTTACTCTTAGCGTTATGTGTGGCCCAAGATTAACATAAAGGACGAGAGGTTCGGCAGGAAACTCAATAGAGCCTAGACCACTTGTTGCAGTGTTCTCACCTCTTGGAATAAAAGCCGATAGCACAAAGTTATCCGATTTTTTTCTTTTAAAAATGAAGGTTGTTAAATTTATTTTGACCCGTACAATCTCAACTTCATGAGCAACTTGTGAGTCTTATTAATGATATTCAGAAAAATTGAAGGGAAAAAAAAACATGTAAGACACATCTTGTATGAAGTATTGAAAATCTAAGAAATCCAAGAAAATCCTTTACTGTAAAATAAGGAGTAGCCATAAAATAGGGCTTACATTAAAGCTGAGAGTGTGCTTGACTCCTGACTAAATTATTTTGATTGTTCGCCTTCAGTTCGGAGAATATTAAATAGAGAAACTTCATTCTAGGATGACCTCATAAGGTACTGAAGTACATTTAGAAGAAAAATTAGAGTCCTACCATTTTCATGAGAATTCAATTTGAGGTATATCATACTCCAAAAAAAAAAAATAGATGAATAAATACATACAAAATAAAATGAAACTAAAGAAAATTGAGTACAGTTAAAAAAACACGAAATTGTACAAGAATAAGTACCTAATTTGGAAATGCAAGAAGCTGCACTATGTATTTGAATTAGCAAACATCCATGACTCAAATGTTTTTGGCCTCAGTCAGCAACTAGTGCAATCCATATGAACTCTAATTCAACTGCGATAAAAAATAATATTTAAATCCAAGCGATCAAACTGGACCTTTTTCGTATCCAACTAGACTTATCCATAAATTCACAATGATGTATACAATTACTTGAGGATCATAAACAAAGGAAAGTGAATGTTTGCTCCACACTGACAAAATTTGAGTCCGTAGCTGTCTTACATGTAGACAGAGTATTCTTAAGAAATGTATTCATTATGATTTTAGCAAAAACCGAAATAAAATTTTAAATAAAAACTTTCAATGGAAAACAAATTAACAAGTCACATTTGTAACATAACGAAGGAAGTTGTCTAATTCATTGATGTGAATTGATCCAACTCAGAAATTCAAGATTAAAGGCAGCAAAGTAAGAAAAACGGAATGCTTGACATTAAGGGAAAAAAACCAGCAACGTTTTCTAAAACCTACATTCATACCTACTCCAAACCTGCACTCAAATATTCATGGATGAAAGGGGCAATCAGCTGAGTAAATTACTTTTTCACCCGCATTAAATCCAGAAATTAAAGCCAGGCACAAAAAAGGTAGAAAATAAAATATTTTAGATACATAAGTATTCTTATACGTCGAGTTTCCTAAGTTCATAAGAAGTCTCGTGCAATAAAATACTTTTGACAAGAAACTTTTGGCAAAAATCTTTGAAAATTTAAAATATTAAAAATAGATTACTTTTTATACTATGATGAAGGTTTCACAAAGGTTCACGAATTACGCGAGGTTTTCACAGCTTTGTAGATCAAAGTTCCCAACTTTTCCAGGTTAACTTTGACTAATCAAATATTGTTGTCCTAGCTCAGAAAATACCACAGAAATGAGGGGAAAACATCAAAAACAAGTAAAAAAGGAAAGATCATATTGCTGAAACAATACAGGGAATGACAGTGGTTGATACACATATATTTGATCATTAGTAGGTACTGTGCTTGCTGTAACCAAGTAAAAAATAGATTTTGGTACGATTTGGTTTATCAAGTAACTGGCCCATTGGCTGGTAGCTCAATGATCCTCTGTCGTGCTCATCTGAATGAGAGAGCGAACAAAATTAGAATGATTTTGCTTACATCGGACATTCAAGAATATTCTCTCATTGGTTTTAAATGCTATTATTTTACGAATCAAAAAACTTAATACCTCATCTTAATCAGAAAATGGGACATTACTTTGAGCAAGGGGCCAACAAGAAAGTTTAAAAACGAACCTATAATTTTGTAAGGCAGCATTTTCGAGGCAGATCAGAATCGCAACCTTTCTAATTTAGAACTTGTTGTGCGTAATCTTTTTTTCTCTTGAAAAAAAAATGAGAGAATGAGCCAAAGTTTAGCTCAAAAGGCACTTTGATTAATAAAAGATCAAAGCTGGATTTGAGACTATAGCAATTTAAAAGCAATCAAATTGAAGGAATTGAATTACAATCATACAATACAGAGAAGTGTCCTCCTTCATAACAGTCTCAAATTTTGGAGGGGAAAACAGACTTAAATGGAAGAAGGACCAAAAAGAGAGGAATAAAGATGACATCGGAGCCGATGGAACATGCAAACTTTCCGAGTTCATGCAAACCTACAAAGCATATAAAGCCAAAATATCCTGAACATTTTCACCTTAGTACGCTGAGAGGAGGCTCTACTTATTGATATTAATATGTTGCAGGCAAATAATCAAATCAGGCACCTTGTCCAATATTTTACACTCAGGTTGAAACACTGATTCCTCCGCTAATTTTGGAAGAAATAATTATTAGTATCCAGATAGGAATTATTTTCAAAATTTGCATCATTTTATAGTTCCTGCTTTTTAGCTCAGAAATGAACAACCATTTTATAAGACAGCATTTTTTAAAATACTGAGTTTTCACAATTATAACGGTTGAAAGTAAATAAAGAGCATACTGAAAAGGAAAAATGCAACGATAGTTTAGGGTTTGATGAATTCTTGCCTTCAAAATATTCAAAATATAAACTCTTTGTAAAAACATGTGAAACTTCGTAAACTTTCAAAATTAGACTATTTGCCCAGGAATTTTATAAGCTGCCTGATTTGGCTATATGCCTGCAATAAATATATGCTCGTTTACTGAGGAATCTTTGAATTTACCTCCGAAATGGGCTCTTCACAAAGACATAATCCAAATAACCAGCATTGGAGAGAGCTTCCTCTAAATATTTTTCAAAACTGACTTCAACAAAACAGAGCTTGATTCAAAATAGTTAGAGAGCTTTCAGACAGGGTAAAATGTGTACTTAGTTAATGTACATTTTTTATGATAATAACAGAAGGTAACATTAACATAGTCATGGCATGGAATTCTGTAATTTCACTGGAAGCATAACCTACAAGCGGTCAACGCTACAGAGACTTTCCATTATTATGCGATGTGGAGAACTGATCACCGGTGAGAGATGGATACAATGATTGTTGAGATGATGATTGAAGAGATGATGGTTGTTGCGATGATGACGGTAAAGATGGAGGAAGATTTGACGGTGGAAGATGATGAGAATCAAACGCTACTTGATTCGAGAACCCCTTCAAGGCACCTTTACCAGCATTCTTCAGACCTTTTTTGGCCAGACCTTTGGCCGATAGGCCTCTCATATTTGAACTTACAGTGATTGTGTTTCCTACAGTAAAAAGAGCATCCTCTGTCGCTTGGCCTGTTGGTTGTCCATATCTGAAAAAGTTGAATGCAACCATTAGCATACAATATTTTAGGTCCTCAACGGACCAAGTTCATCAGAAAGGAACCAACCCACATTTGTGAAAAAATTGAGTTGAGAATGTTGTTGAGTTCCACTAATCTTATACTCCCTTGCAAAAAACTCTGAGTCGAGAAAAAAAAAAATAGTCTAGATTAAAAGGGGTTGAAGTTTATTTTCTACATTCAGCCTTATGCAGGAATAAAACTTCAAACCTCATTTTTCTCAGTTTCAACTTTATGTGGCTTGGTTCCTTTCTGTAAAACAAGGTCAAAATAGACTCTCAAAAACCACATGAGAATTTTCTCGTTAAAACAAGATTCAACAAAGCATTAAATGTGTAGAATAAAATGAAAATGACTTTGTGCATTTCTTAAGTATTCACAATTTCAACACTGAGCTTAAAAATGATCTTCAGCTTGAGACGAGAGACAAAGAGCTAATTAAATGAGCCCCATGTATTATGGGTGGGAAGCTGTACAACAAATTACGTAACGGCCAAAATTAAGCTGTCTGAGACCGACGATGTATCTTTTAAAGCAAGCCATAGACTAATGACGGACGGCTGTGATTACACCATTAAAAAGTATCTAGAGTCTAAGATTTCAACAATTTTTAAAATTTTCCAAAAATGTGAGCTACGTTTATGTGAGCTTTCAAAACTTGTACCATGGCCTTACGGCAGAAATATATGAAATTATTATTATTGATAAATAAATAAATTACATGCGTTTTAGATGCAGCTTTTGGAATCACCATATACAAAAAAAAAAAAAAAAAAAAAAAAAAAAAAAAAAAAAGATAGTATCCAGTTCTCATTATGCAAAACTGGCAATTGATTCAAGTGACCAACTGACTGTTTCTACTTTTCAGAATAGGAGGTATCACAAAGAAAGGAAGAGGAGGTAAAGATTGAGAAAAATTGCTGTAAATCTAATTGTGGTAGCTGAATCAGCCTAGAAAGGCACAGATGGTGAAGTTACTTTGTAGAGGTAGAAAAAGAGAAGTAAAAAACAAAACTGCATGCAAAATGAGCTCAGACTCATCAAAGAAGTGGTCAAAAATTTCTGAAAAATTCAATTGCACAATTGGACCACACTTGGCAAAAAGCAACCAAGTCACAACAGCTATTGCAAAATTAAACAGGGCGTTTAATTTTGTACAAGAGAGCGTTTACGCAGATTTCTTTGAAAATTTTGAGGAATTTGCTTTGCATAACGCAAAAAATTTACTGAAAATTGCACAAAAATCCGCACAACCATTTTCATGTAGAAAATTGAATGAGCCAATTCAATTTGGCAACAGCTGCTGTGGCTTGGTTCCTTTCTGCTTAAAGCGGTCCAATTGGTTTCCTTAATATCATTTATTCAAAACAAACGAAATTATGCAACATGTTTCTCGTAGAGGCTCTGGATCAAGTGAACGGAACCTAGGCTCAGAACAAAATATCCTAGATGGATTAATCCTGATGGGCCACTGCCTATTGAAAAAAAGCTAGGAATAGATTTGTACTTACTTGTGTTCAACAACTTTGACGGTGTTGCTGGTTAAACTTTGCCCTAGGATCGAGGCGGCTGTCTCTAAGCCTGTGCTCACGGTTGCGATCCCCTCGACAGCGCTTGACGCCACTGTCATGAAACTACTCATTTTTTCTGAAGCTGCATTGTTGTCCAGCCCTGTTGCACGAGAGAGTAATTTTGAGCCTCCTTTGTGAATATGAGGAGCTAAGTACGTTCCTAGTTCTTTCGTAGCAGAGCCTAATGAATTTACTGTAAAATATAAAACATAGAAAAATAAAATTCATCAACTTGTACATAAAAGGGTGTTATTCTCAAGTTCTAGTGAGTTCAAAATTCAGATATGATTAAGTTAACCAAAAATGTTCTTTTTTGTTCTAAATCGACTAACTTTTTGTCAGAATTTAGGAGAATCTTTGCAGAATTCTAAAGAAGAATTCACATTCCGAGAACGAACCTCTGGACAAGGTATGAATTAAAGTACTTAACAACATGTTCTTCCTTTAAAACTGCACGAGGAACACAAAACACACAACAGAAAGTCTGGAAACCTATTCCCAGAAACATTACGTATATTTACAATTATCAAAGTGGTAAAATAGTGCTGAGTCCATACGATTTTACTGGGAGAGCAATGCTAAAAAGTTAAAAAATTTCCATTCAGAGTCATAAAGAAGTTGAGTTCTAGGCTTTTGCTTTGAGCTTTTTATTTTACAATTAACATTGTCTAAATGGTAAAAAAACAAATGAAGTCATCTGTATCATCAACCATTTGTATTATCTCCATTTGATCTGCGTTAGAAGTACTTGTTAATATCTCCTTCAGAAGTTGATTTCCGAACTTCTAGTTGGGCGAATCATTTTTCACATTAGATTTTAAAAAGAAAAGAGGTGACAATTATTTCTTGTTTAAACCTTGGTTAAAGGCCCATTCCCCTCCTCTTCCACATGAGCAGTCGAGGGACTTGCCAAAGTGTTAGGCTTGAGTTTGGAAGAAAGAGAACAAGGTAGATTTACACAGGTATGGACAAGTTGAAAATTTCCCATGAGCCTCAGTATGTGTCACATGACTACGTGACGTAGGTTAAGGGGCCTGTTTTTTAATTAAATTACAATCAAATTAACATTCAAACGTTTGTGCGTTTAAACGTTAAAATTAATATCGCATTATCAAAATTGTGCAAAAAATCCCACAAAATTTTGACAAATGATAAACCGAACATAATAAATCAAAATAATCAAAACATACAAAATGGCGGAAGTTAAGGGGCCTCTGGAGAGCCAATCAGGGGCCAGTTGTTTAGTTCTGTCCATACCTGTGTAAATCTACCTTGGAAAGAGAAGGGGTCCCAGAGCGGATAGTCAGACCTATATTTCTTCAGATTTGACCAGATACTTCTGCAACGTCAACTTTCATCCCTCATAAACTTTGAACAGTGTTGCCTTACGAGAGTAAACAATTCGTTTTCACTTGTTATCAAACAAAAGACACATATACAAGTTTAGTCTTGGTGCAAACTCAAAACTACAATAATTGCAATTTTTTTTTTTTAATATATTTTGAAATATCAGAAAAATGCGTCAAGCACAGCTATGGTGTGAGAGCCAATGATTGTACTTTTCAAAATCATAAAATACACGATTTCAGATGAGTTAGCACAAATCAGGAATAATTACATTTCACTCATTTGCGAGATAGTGAGCTAAAAGAGTCTCACAGGGCCCCCTTAAGTTTATGGAGCATCAGCAAATTTTTAAAACAGCGTCTTAAATAAAGTATAGTGAAAGCTTGCTAAGTCGAACTACAGTTAGGACGAAATGTCGCTTAAGTTGAATTTGTTTTCGGTCCCTAGACATGTCCACGTGTTAAGTGGAGAATCGGTTAAGATGAATTGCCGCTTAGGTTGAATTTTTTTTTTGGTCCCTGCACAATTTTACTTAGCGAGCTTCCACTGTGTAACTATTTACTAATTGAGTATAAATTCAAAGAAAGTCCAAGATGGAAATAAAAATGGGATACTTCATGTCAGGTTTTGATTTTTTCTATCCTTTTAAACATCCTGGAAAAAGGGCATTGACAAAGGATATTGTACTTACAAATAAATCCTGAGACATTAGCGGCAGTCCCAGTAACATTTCGGGCTGTTTTCAAGCCTGCTGCAACATTTGGATTTACGGGTTGTCCTGCAGGATCTGGAGACGGTGCTAATCGTTCTAAGAGTTTGGGAGTTTTGACATTCAAAAAGTAACTGGCTTTTTCTGCTCCCTTGATGAGACCAGACGAAACATATGACGTACCTAAAATAAGTAAAAAGTATTGTAAGTAGCTAATGCTTCCAATCTGAAAGTTGTCTAAGCAAGTTATTAGGTCTGCATCATTATTAGCTTTGACTTGGATACACTTGAGCTTCATTGAATGCAATCATGAAAGGTGATCATGTTTGAGTAAGCAAGACCATATACACGCATACAGAAAAAGAAGGAGGTGTTTGCATCTTGAGGATTGTGTACCCTGTGATGTAGGTCGGTACAACCCGGTCAGCAAAATCCGGAATTCGAAGTATGAAAAACGGAACATAACGTCTGATTTTTTTGTTTAAATCAACTCATGATATAATTTAAAACTCTTTATGTAGTATGCATTTTTTCCATAAACTACACCATTTCCAAGAAAATCAATGATAAAAATCGCTGTACCAACCTACGTCATCAAAAAAATTCCAAGATGCCCGAAATGCAACCACCTTTTTTTCTCTATGGTACACTTGTATTATGTTGGGAGGCAACACTTGCAACAGTATCTGAGAACAAGCAACGATCGTATTTTGTTCAAAGACGTTTTGCATTGTTGGGTACAGGGCTCACTTGACAGGCAACTGGGAGAGGCAAAAACCCAGCCTTTTTTTTTTCTTTCTTATTTTGTGATATTTTTTTCTTATTTTATGAATCAATGTTTGACATAGGAGATTGAAAATTTGCTATGAGAATGAAAAAGTTACAAGCATACCTTTTTCTATATAATTAGAGACGACATCACTTGAAAGTGCCCTAGTCCTTACATCTGGAGGATGAAGGATATCATCTAACAATGATATTAGTTGTTCTCTTGCTTCTGCTGGTACGATCACACCAATCGCTTCTCCTACAACAGATGAAAGTAAACATTTTAGTAACTCCAAGAGACAAATTTTGTGACACCTTTGAAAAACAAATTCTTTAGGCGGATTAAAGAATGAAAAATAGAGAATCAGCACAATTAGAGGCCATATGATAATTGTGAGTGCTCAATTGTATATAAATAATTGATGGTAAATTTTTATTTGTTAGAGCTGCAGCCAATTTTTGCTACAGTTAAAATGAAGGGTGTTTCTGAGAACAAATTCGCTAAAAAATTATGATGCAGAAACTGATCAAGGCTGAAAGTGGTGTAAATGCCTTTTCTGAAATTGTTTAGGTTTTAAGGAATTTCTGTCAACGAAGTGCTGCCAATTTTAATATTCCATGTACTTGAAACTTAATCTGATTTGACTCCTGGCACTCATGTATTCTGAAAAATTTTGCACTTACAAAATGAGAGCATCAGCAGATACTTCATTGCAGATGTTGACAAGAGATCGATGATTCTGTGATTAACAGCGATTTCGTCAACCTTTACATACACGCAATGTATTGCCAACCAAAAACTTATTTTGAACAGTAATGTACTGCTCTGTTACAGTATTTTTGTATAATTGTATTTTTAAACAAATGATAACCTTAAATTTTCCTGAATTTTGCTGATATTGCGATGTTTGTCATATTAAAATCCACCGATAATATGAAATGATTATAAGTAAACTTTCTCCCTGTTTCCTCAATGAACCAATGATAATTGCTTGGCATTTCGATTTTTAACATCAGGAAATGAGTTAAGGACTTTTTAAAGGGTTCAGAGTTACTGATTTTTGTAAAAAAAAACAGTAAGTGCGGCAGGGTCTGATGAAATCATAAGTCAATTGGTGACTGAAACTTACCTTCAATCTCAGAGATTGTGTTTGGAAAAATAAATGCTCCATAGTTGGTAAGGATGTACGGTGAAACGCCAGGCATGAGAGGATAAATCCAATCCCCAATCTGGAGCAAAAACTGAGGAGAATCATTGTCTATTCCTGGAAAAGGTGTAAAAAAACTTAGAACAAGATAGACTTTGAAACGATACAAGTACATACTTCAACAGAACAACATGGTTACAGGGAGTTGTGATAATAGACTCTTAAAATTTTTAAGACTTAAACAAAATTCCCGAGTTTACTAAAAGTTGAATGCACAGGTATAAACTCTATCAACTTTCTCTTGATCAACTTGATACATCACCAGAAATTTAAGCCACTTAATGATCTAGGGCGGTTTAAGCCTTGAACAGAAATTTTTGTCATCTATACACATTAGTCAGACATGACGTTTTTTACACGTAAAATTTGTTGAGACTTTTGGCTTAGAATGGACTATATAATAGAACGACCTTTAACAGCTCAAGGTAATATCTTATTGCTTAGAATCATGCTATGAGTGCAAATTGTAGAAAAAAGCAGTGAGGTGAAGGAAAAATATATGTGCGTGCTGATAAACTAAAAATGATAGAACACTACTATGTAAAACAGGAAAATGGATTACTTAAAAATAATGTAAGGTTATTCCCTGATGACTATTAAAAAAATAAGTTCGTTTTGAGAGAAAGAAAAGAGATCTTAGACTGTACATAGGTAAAAAAAATCCTGAAATTGTGAAAATTGACGTTTTTAGGGTAACACTCTCCAGTCACAGAGGATAGGGATCTAGACTCCCTGAACTATCGACCCCTCCCCTGGTGATGCCACTGATCTCAGTACACAAAGGTAAATGTTTCGGGTGAGAGATTTTGTGAGATGTTAGAGTTTAAATTATTGAAAGAGAGCTCTATCTTGTATCTCCACAAAATCGTATGTTTGGTTTCAGAGCTAATAGGGGGCTAAAGTTGGTTGATGGGACAATAATTGTGAATGAAGAAAATGTTAGAATAAAATTCTGAATATTTTCCCCTCAAAACTACACTCCTTAAACTGCAAACGTCGAACCACTATACCTCTAGTTTGGTTTGAAGTTTTTGGGGACTTATGTGCATTTTGGAGAAAACTAGGTTTTCTGGGAAGTGGTACAAAAATCTCAATGAGCCACCTGCCACGGATTGAACTGAAAGAATATTAACATAATTTCTCTTCAAATTCTTGCGTAGAAAACAATGAAAACTCAAAACATGAACTTTGAAAATCAACTTCTGAAATAGATAGTAACAAGTATTTTTGACGGATTCCATGGAAGTTGATTCATACAAAAGACATCATTTATATTTTTGCCATTGGACCAATGTTACTGTCTGTTTAAGAGTTGATTTAAAGACTTCTTGTTGTACCAATCATTTTCCTAGTGAAATTTTAGAGAGATAATATGTATGGTGGTGCTTCAATTTGTACCTTGTCTAGAAGCCCACTTTCAATTTTTAGTCACTTCAGTCTTTTCCCAATAGACTGTTACAAGTACATAAGTGATATATTATTAGCAGCAAAATTTCTGCTGGAGGATTACATGCAAAAAAAAGTTCTCTTTGTGGAAATATTTTCATCTGGCTGGTTTCCAATATATAACTTTTTGGAGTTATTTTACTGTGTTAGTAGAACGCTACGGGCAACTCAAAGATTTCAAGACATTCCGCATAATGCTTTGATAGCTCTCATTATGAATACAAATAGGTAGGAAAATTAAGCTTCTTGGAGTTTTCCACAGACAAGATTAGTATTGAAGATGACCTAAAGTGGGTGCGCAATTTTTCATGCATCAGAGATAAAACTAGCGATGAAGAGTGCGAGAAGAACGTAAGATGAAGCTAACATGCCCCTAGAAACAGCAGAGATAGCCAGACCGAAGCTTTTTTGTGGCTCATTCCAAGAATTGAAGCTAAAATTGTGTATTAAATGTCATTTTGAGAGAGAGAAACACCGGAGCACCATGATTAGACAGTTTTTTGGAGTCACTTGGCAATGAGCCTGAAAAGCTCACCCTCTTCTTCATCATCGTCAGCATGGCGTTCGGTTTTACTCAGTTTGCGCTCCTTTTTCCTGGCGATTTTTTCGTACTTCCTCTCGATTTTTTCGATTTCTAGCTGTTTTTTTTGATCGAGGTCTAACTTCCCACGGTGTTTGTGTCGTCCTCTAGAGCTCACGTGCGAGCTGGTACTGACTTGCGAACTGGATGCGTCATCCTCAGGATCGCTATCGGATTTCCCGCTTCGACTGCTACGATGGCTATGCCGATGTCTGTGGCCTAGACGTAGATGCCGGGGTCTTTTATGAGCATCACGATGCTTAGTCTTCGGTGAGTCTAAACGAGTGGTAGATGAAACATATATTAGTGGTTGTTCTGTGAGGTATCGAGAGGTATTCCACAGGTAAATTGTTCGCCTCCGTAGTGACTCTTAATTTCAACTGATGAAAACTTTGGATTGGTGTAACTGTGCATACTAGTGGTCATAAAGCTAAGGGAGGTTCGCAATTTCTATCTCTAATAAGGAGCAAAAAATAATCAAACAACAAGGAGTAGGGTTTGTGAAGAAGTGATAAGGGTGTAACGCTCTGAAAATATTAAATGTCTGTTAGGAAGATTGCACTTTTTTGAAAGCACTTTTTTGCAGGTGTTGTTAACATTCTATAAAATCTGAGCACAGGCAATATCAGAAAAGAAAAAAGGATAAAAATAAATTGACACTTAAGAGACAAAACGGCTCACATTCAATTTTAAACATGTCGGAGAGGAAAGTTCCAAATACTATTTGTCATTCGAAATACAAAACAGATGAACAGTACGCATATCATTTGATGGCAGATTTGCTAAGGAATTTAATGAGTGAAATTTCCTAACACTTGAAAATATACAAAACGGTTAAAAATTGTCACTTCAAAGACCGCGAATGCAATATTCTTGTTTAAGTCGTCAAACACAATCTAGAAAGCAAATGAAGGTGATTTAATGATTTGTTCCTACAACTCTCATAATTTTCCTTGAAACATCCCAGTTTTAATAACTTTTTGAAGTTCCTTGACATTTTCTAGTTTGTGCTGACTGTAGCAACCCTGCAATGGTAATGATGCAAAATTGCATGTTAGAAAAAGTCTATTGTTTTGCTGTTTCACACCACAGAGAATGCTAACCTCTACTTGCTGTCCATATTATTTAAACAGTATTTTTTCTTAATCAATAAAACGCCAACTTTAATGGAATTGATGGATTAAATGGGAGGAATAAAACAAAAAAATTTACAGCAGAGCACAACAACAACTTGAAAGGTTGCGGATCTTGAGAAAATATTTCTCTGATGTCAGTCAGGCTTGCAATTTTAGGGAGGCATCACACAAATAATCATCTAAAAAAATGTGAATTAAAAAGTAGTTATGAAGCTGATAACACAAAATGAAGAGGAGAAAAATTACGACAATTAATCAAGGCCAAAACTTGCACAACACTCAACACTTCTACTTCAGCTTTGAAAATAAGCTTTACCTAATTAAAAAACAATGAATGATAAAAGAAATGAGACTTACTCAAAATGTTTAGAATGCTCAGTCTGTCAGTGCCAGTTGTTGCGCAGACATTGCCTTCAGGGGTAATGTAGTATACTTCAACATTGTTGACCGTATACACTATTTTTGCTGATTGACCTTCACTCTCCATTTTTAAAGCGTTGAGGGCATCGTTCAGTTGTGCGTATGTTAATGAATCATCCTCGTTACCATTGACCGCTGAGGCCTCGTTTGAGCGGTTCGCCTCAGCATGCTTTTCCGGATTTGCAGGAGGTTTCTCCTGAGGGGATGGCGTTTGAGGTATTTTCCAGGCGGAAAAGCCCCCGTTCATCGGAGGGCCGGAGGACGAAGGGCCATCTAATGATGATGTGGCTGGAGGTGGACAGGAAGAAGAGGATACTGCAGGAGGGCTCCAAGAGGGAGGCTGAGAGGGGCCTGCTGAGGGATCAGATGTTGAAGGTGTTGACGGGAGACGAATTGCCTCCTCATAAGATGGCGGAGGAGCCAAATCAACCGCTGCAATTGCCGATTTGACCGCTGATAGCCGACTTTCTATATCTTTCCTGAAATGATACACGATTACCATGAGAAGATTTTAAAAGCTGGTTCAAACACTTGAACAGTTCATACGCTACAGGAGAAATTTGAATTATTGTACAACATTGGTTCTGGTGGTCAGCACTGCAGCGTTCTAGTCAAATGATACCACCAGTCTCCATAAATATTCCAAATGTTATTTCTTTCCATGTAATATTCGGTATTTTTTTGGACAGTCTAAAAATTAATCTAATCATTGTTGAAATGAACCGCGCTTCGTCTGCAAACCTGGACTGAATAATCTGTTCAGTTAGATCATTCCAAAATTGATTCATGGCTTTTACTGCGAGTAAATAGACATTCTAACTATAAGTTTACAGGAAATATTCGAACAGCAAAAATGTTAAGAATTTGTTAAGACTAGGTGTCATGATTTGTAAGAGAATTTTCATTTTGGAAGACTAGTCACACTCCTTGCTACTTATGTTTTTTTGAGATTTTTTTTCCTACTCTTTCATGAGAGTCGAGTCTGAAACTGGAAACAGGAATGAATTCAAGATATATTCACAAACTGATTGCGGTGGACGCACGGGTCGTGAGTATGTTGGAGTTTTTTAACGCATGTTGGCGAAAAAAAACTCCAGCAGACTCACGACCTGTGCGTCCACTGCAATCAGTTCGTGTAAAACCGCCTTGCAAGGCTTATGCGGAGCTGTTTGGATAATCGCTCACTGGATGGCGCAAGTTTACTTGCCTCCAGCATCCGCTTGCCCGAGTCTCGGGCTGGTTTTCACGACCTCTCGAGCTTGGTAGCAGAAAATTCGGGAGGCTGCACTGCATTGAAGATTGGCCCAAATTGGCCGAAACGCGTCTGCAGTTGCCTCCTTGAATGGACGTAACTAGTGTTGCACCAAACAGCATATCTCTTAGAGGGAAATTTGTGCTCGGATGAGCTTTTCCCTCTGTAATGAGAATTTCAGCTTAATGCTGAATTTTTAACACCTGTTGGCGAAAAAAAAACTCCAACATACTCAAGATATATTGGCTGCAGGAAAAAAATTATGCTTTAAAAATACTTAATTATGATAAAGTAAAATAAAAATATGGTATAATGCAAAATAAAATTGAAATTAGATTTCTTTGCTTTTTAATTTTGCTAATATTTTATTCATTCAGAATAATGTATTTGAAAATGGAGAAACTTTAATTTGCAAAAAAATTAGGACACACTTTAGCGAATACTCGGAAAAAAAGATGCTTAAGTTGTGTTCCTTCTTCATTTTTAGCAGGGTGTAAGAAGTCTACACGGTTGGATTTAATATCCAGCTTGCTGACAATACAAACTCACCTTGATTTTTTCATTTTTTGTAGCATGACGCATGCTTTCTCCCAACTCAGGTCCGGGTTTGACGGGCATTCTACTCTTAGTTCAAATGCTTTCTTCAAAAAATCTAGTCCCTCTTCATAAGAATCAGCAGCCTGGAAACAGATTAACAGAGATTAAAAGTAAATCCAAAAACTCCGAGGAGTGTTAACTGGACGGAGGAGTCGAAAGGCTGGTCTAACAAAACAAATGCAAGTTAAAGAATTGCTTGACGAACTTATGATTAGGTCTTCTGACTTATGTTTTTGAACTTCTAGTTTTTTATAAAGTTTTTGAATCTAAAAGCGTAATACTTGCGGCAACTACAACTTCCTGGTGCTACCTATTTAAAACCTAGTAGAGTTAGCACTTCCAATTTTTTCAGCCAGCACCCTGGCAAAAGCCTGTATCATATGATGAAAGTAGGTAGAGCTCTCAAAGTAGCGTCATGTGGGGTCACGTGACACCACTACAGGCTATATATCAGAATTTCCGATCCAGCTCGTGTGCTTGGCCAGATTCTTTCTGCATTCAGGTGTGCATATTATACAGGGTATGAGTATTATACAGGATGTATCAGACCACCCATACCAGGCTTTTTGCTCAGTTATTTCAGGTCAAGCAAGGAAGGAAACATTGCAGTGTGCAGTTTAAAAGAGAGCTGGTCCAAAAGGAATCTGAATTTCATGGTCCTAAAGCCCTCCCACCTTCAAACTCCATTTGGAGGATAGAAGAAGGCTCCTGATTTTAAAAGTCGAGATTCTCGGCAAAATTTTGGAATTATTCTGTCAAAATCAAAAATTATGGTAAATCTAAACCTTAGTCAACACCAAGAGATCCAAAAGCGACCCATCTGTGTCTGAAATACTGACCTCATGAGATGGGGAAAAGAGCACCCTCCAAAATTTACCTCGTTACTAAATTGACGCAGAGGCTGGGAAAACAATCATTTTTCCCCAGTGATCAGCCCCCAGAAGCCCGAATTTGGTGTTCCCAAGGCTTCACTGATCAGGGGAAGGGGTACTGGAAAAAAAAGAATCTTAAATTTGCTGCCAAGAAGTATTTCTTCTTAAATCAAGAATTTTGCTGGTTAATATAAGCTACTTTTTTGCTTAACCCGAGCATTATTTTTCTTGAATCAAGAAAAAGTCAGCTTAAAGCAAGAAAAAGAAAATTCTTGGCGGCAAATTCAAGAATTATCACGATTGATCCAAGCTACTTTTTTTTCAGTGGGGGTGGGGGGCGCTAACCTTTCTCACTTTAAACTTGTACGATCCCTCTGTGCCCAATCATTGAAGCCTCAAAGGGCTTCGAGACCGTCAAAGTTGGATTCTTTGGAACCAACTACCCAAGAAATCATCTTTAAACCGAGCTCAATTTCAAATTAAAGTCAATTTGGCAACCCAGTGTTTTGGGGAGCGCTGCCCCAGTGTCCTTGTTAAATCTGTTTCCTTTCAAAAAAATTAAAAGGGCATTTTCACACACCTCAGCTTTTTTGTTGGCTGCTTCAAATTTGATACCTTCATCTATCTTCTTGTACGCTGCATCATGGAAACTTTTCAACGTCTCGTAGGTCGTTTTCCAATCCATCCTTGGTTCATCCATGTTCGTTACTGAAAAAAAAAGAAAAAAGGTTTTAAAAAATACCTATCTCGATGAGATAAACATCCCTCGAATATGGAAACAGTGAACAATCGAACGAAACAATTGGAACATAGCATCCTCCTGAGACAAAAACGTTCAGAACTTTTACGAGCCCTTGCTTTCGAAACACAGAAATTGGGGTGAACTGGGGTCAATAAACAATGATCGACCGCTTGAAAAGGTGAGAATTTCGACATCAAATAATTCAAATGGGTACATCGGCAATGTGACAGGGTTACCACAGAAATTAAAAAATTAAATTCCCTGACACATTTTGGTGAAATTCCCTGACACATTTTGGTGAAATTCCCTGAGTATTGAAGATGTGACGCGTGGGTGAAAAGGCATAATTGAAAATAGTTTTCCGGCAAAATTTCTAGTTCGAAACCTCAAACCCGTTCTAGAAAGCAAATGAAGGTGATCTAACGAATGTTCCCTGACATTTCCCAGTTTTCCCTGACTTTATAAAATTCCCTGGCATTTCCCGGTTTTCCCTCACTGTGGCAACCCTGATGTGAGTCCGCAACCACGTACCTCGTTTACGGTAATTAAAAATCTCCGCTCTTATTTTATTTTTTTAAAGGAGAACAAATCGCAATCATTCCTTGCGGTTTTTACAGAATTTTCTTCGCATAGAGAAGACAAATCATGGCAGTTTTTAAGAATTGCTGTTGAGAAGTTTTCCATTTAAAAAATAAAGTCAGACAAAAGGTCTGCAACGACAGCAACCGAGATACGTGGTTACGGATTTTAACTGTCCATATGCCTTCTGATCAAAACATTATGTAGAACATGGTGAACACATCCAAAATTTTCCAATTTAACTTGCACGTTTTCTGTGCTCGAAATTTTGAAATTCCCGCTTTCTAAAAAATCAAAATGGATACTCAACTAAATAAGCTGCACTAAATTAAAAGCTTCACTAAGTTTTACGATTAAATACTTTTCTCTAGGGTGCTAAATTTTTTCTTGGTACCGGGAGGAGAGCCTCACATCAAAAGAGGACGAAGATTTTTGTGAAAGTGACTTCAGTTATTCACCGAACACAAAACAGGTTCGAGATTTGTTCGGAGTACAAATCGCATGTTCGCGTTGAGTGTGTGTCGCGCGGTTCGCGTGTTGTGGAGTTCGAGTAATATTCTTAAGCACTTAGATGGACAACGATGTTTTAAAGCCGAATTTTCAACGCGATCGAAAAAATTGGTAACAGTACAATCCCGATCTTTCGTGTAAAACTTCCTGCAATGGTAAAAATATTTGTGTTATTAAGTTACTTTTGGTTACGATGGAAAGTAAAACATAAACCAACACCTATTTTGTGTTGGTTTAACTGAAATAAAATTTCCTTTAAAAAAGAAGGGAAAAAAATCACTGGTATTAACCGAACTTTTTTGTTGGAATTTTTCTCTGTGTGGCCTTTTTGAGAACAAATTTCTCCTATACTTTATCTGGTTTCCCAGTACTGTCGATATCGTGTTTGAATGATCACACAATGAAAGTACCTACCCACTCCAGTTCTGCGTGTTGGAGGCGGTACCGACAACATGATCAGGAGCGGAAAATCCAGCCTGATTCACGACGGCGACCTCATTTGAATTCAAATTAATTCTATTTTTAATGTGCTGGCAGCATGCGCAAGGGTTTGCAGTTTAATGGCTCCATTCACAAGTATTGTCTTACCTCTCAAGGACGTTCTCAGATCAGACAGACGATGGGGTGTGCTACGATTTGAAAGCGCGGGGTAGCAATAGCGTTCCTTAAATGGACCATATTTTGCAATAAGGAACCACTATTTCTGGCTCATTCTAGGAACAACATATACGAGGTCTGTTAGATTAGAAACCGGATTTTGGTCATAACTAGCCCACAATGCGTCCAAATTACGTTTTCTTGAGCTTTTCTGCTAGCTGACAATATATTTAAGAACGCTACGTTCACAAATTTGAAAAATCCTAATTAGCTTCGTTGGTATGTGGCTTGAAATAAGGCAACCTCAAGGGTGTTTTGCGATTTTTATGTTTGACCGAACTTGTCTTTCTTTTTTCGGTCTTGCACTACATTTTTCAACCCACAAGGACGATTGGAGTTTCGTCTCCATATCGTAGCCGTACACTGAAGTATTGTCACCGAAAATCATCCTACCCAAAAATGTAGGATCATTGTTAGAACGTTGAAGCAGCTAAAGGGAAATTGACATTTGGTTGGATTTTCGTTCAACGGACGACAATCAAGGGGCAAGTGTACCTGAAACTCGATGCGTGTCTACATATTCTATCAAAATTGTATGTACAGAGCCTTCAGAAATATTACTCTGTTCAGCAAGCTCGAAACGACCATTTTCGAGCACTTTTGCCCGCACTTCTTCCACGTGACAAATGTCAGTTGCCGTTGAGGGTCGATTCCCATGCTCCTCATCTTTGACGAACTCCTGACCAGCTTTGAATCGTTTAACCCATTCAAAACAGTGGGAACATCTCATACAATGATCATGGTAAACTTTACTTAGCATATACCAAAAGTTTCGGTACAAGGTGTACCGAGTTTAAAACAAAATTTAATGTTGAATCTTTGCTCTATCAGTGATCGCATGATGAAAATCGCAAAACGCACCTGACTTACTCGTATTCAAGATGACACAGACTAAACACTGATCAAAGTAAACAAAATCTGTGAACGTAGCGTTCTTAAGTATATTTCCAGCTATCCAGGAAAGCTCAAGAAAACCTAATTCGGACGCATTGGGGCCTAGTTAAGACCAAAATCCGGTTTCTAATCTAACAGACCTCGTATGCCATTAGTTTCCCTATCAGGGTGTCTACTATAAAACAGGCTGGTCAAAAATAAGTACTTTTGCAGTACTTTTTCAGTACATTCTCAAGAGATTCAGTACCTCCTCTGACAGAAAAATTCCGTACTTTTTTAGTAGGTGCCTTCATTTGACGAAATTCGAAAAATTTCAAAAATTTGAAATTGCGCAAAAAATGACAATACATTGAAAAAATTCCGGACCTTTTTGCGGAATTTCCGCACTTTTTCCGTACTTCCGGACCGCCCTTATAAAATCAGTACTATTTCCGGACTTGTAGACACCCTGCCTATGCAGAAAGGCGCTTTTATGGAAGAGCCAGGGACATTGGTTCCCAGATCAGACAGACGATGGGGTGTATCGGCTACGATTTGAAAGCCCGGGGTAGCAATAACGTTCCTTAAATGGACCACATTTTGCGATAAGGAACCACTATTTCTGGCTCATTTTAGTAACAACATTGCAATCAGTTTCCCTATGCAGAAAAACGTTTTTATGGAAGAGCAAGGGACATTGGTTTCGCCCACCGAGTTCAGTGGCGAGGCTCAATGATCGATTTTCGATATTTTTCCATTAGAAGCCCTGGTAAAGAATCGATTAATAAGGTGTCCGTTGCGAACACCCCGTTTATCAATCCTTTTCCATGGGTTTAAATGGTAGATCAATCAAAGTATCGTCACCTTCCGGCTAAAGTATCACAAGCGCCACGCGACGTTTCAAAATTTCCGCCGCTATTATATTTTTTTATAGGGAAATTGTTGGCTGAATCTGTTTGAAAATGTCACTAGATTTTATCGGCAGCACAAAGAAAGTTCGGTGACATTTTCGGACCGCTTCGATGAACAATTTCTCTTTGAAAGATAATCTTGGTTGAATCTGTTTGAAAATTTAACTGAATTTTATCGGCAGCACAAAGAAAGTTCAGGGAAATTTTCGGACAGCTTCGTTGAACAATTTCTCTTTGAAAAGATAATCTTGGTTGAATCTGTTTGAAAATTTAACTGAACTGTATCGGCAGCAGAAAGAAAGTTCAGGGAAATTTTCGGACGGCTTCCTTGAACAATTTCTCTTTGAAAAGATAATCTTGGTTGAATCTGTTTGAAAATTTAACTGAATTTTATCGGCAGCACTAAGAAAGTTCAGGGAAATTTTCGGACAGCTTCCTTGAACAATTTCCCTCTGAAAAAATGAAAATGGCGGCGGAAATTTTGAAACGTCACATGGCGCTTGTGATACTTGGGCCGGAAGGCGGCGATACCGCGAAGCACGCCGCACCACTGGCCGAGTTCACCTGTAACAGGTCGTAGGGCCTCCGTGGTCGGTGGATAGGCATGGGAGAGACCGGTGATTGGCTAATAATTTGAGCGAGACGTGGACGTCACGATAGTATTGAGTAACCTCTTGCGAGGCAGATTCCTGGTTGTTGCTATTGCCGTTGCGGTCGACGGCTTCAGCGGATGGCGCGCGCGCGTGTCTAGGCGTCAGCGCACAGTGGATCGAGTCAATCAGAGAGGTCGGACATGAAATCATAGACCAAAACTGCAAGTTCTTATGGGTAAATCGGCGAAATTTAAAAATTACGGGGTGCCTCTAGAAGAAAATGGAGATGTTGCATGTGTGAGAAATTTGCGATTTGACCGTTGATTCTTATGTAAAAGTTCGCGAGAAACACGATGGTCCCACTGGTTTTCTCTGAAATCAACTCCCAAGCTCAAAAAAAGCTCTCAAGTTGATCGAGGCCAAAATGGAGGGGATATCCCACGCTATCCTGAGAGTCCACCTCTACACCAAGACGAACTGTCCATGCAAAGATAGGGAGCAAATACATTAGCACGGATGCCATGTTTTCAGTTTTGGAGTCCTCAGATAAGGTGGCAGCCCTGTCAATGCGTTTGCTCCCTATCTTAGCATGAAGAGTTCATCTTGAAGTAGAGGTGGACTCTCAGGATAGCGTGGGATATCCCCTCCATTTTGGCGTCAACTTAAGAGCTTTTTTTGAGCTTTGGAGTTGACTTCAGAGAAAACCAGTGGAACCATCGTGTTTCTCGCGACCTTTAACAAAAGAATCAATTGTTAAATCGCAAATCCCTTTCACATGCAACATCTCCATTCCACGAGGAAACCAATGGAACCACTATAGGATCCTCAAAGTTTTGTATGAAC